TATAATTCTTCATCATCTAAGCCTTGTCCCAATTATATAGGGTTGGCTACATGAATCCCTTTTCGCCATTCTGTTCTGTTTAGTGTCATCCACACCTCATTCAAATGTTCGGTTATGGTGTGGGCTGTGTGGTGTGGCCCAAAACCCAATATATCATGGTGTGGTCTACCCACACCCTAAATATCGACCATAGTTATTTATTGTGGTTGTAACCATGCCACAGGGGACTATAATCCCCTTAGGAGATATAATGCTTTGCATTTGGGAGTTTGCAAAAAAAAAATTTTATTATTATTTAACATAATATTTTTTTAATTATTTGTCCTATATATAATAATTAATAATATTTATCTTACCATTATGATTATTATTATATTGGATATTAAAAGTAGAGATTTTACTTTTTATGTTTTTACTAATTTTAATATTTCTAAGTTAATTTTTTAATAATTATTTATAATTAATATTAGTTCTCTTATTTTATATTTTTATATTCCTTTCAATTTTTTAATTATTATTATTATTATTATTTTCAATTCAGCTGGTAATATTTTATTAATTCGTAGTCATGGTTAAAAATTGACCACATCTTAAATTAATTCTTATTATTAATTTGTATTTTGCTTAAAAAAGCAAAAAAAAAAAAATTCTTGATCAGCAATGTAGATTATCTCATATTGTGTATTTGAGATACATGGAATCAAAACACAGGGTGTGACCTAAACCACACCACACCACACCATGTAGAACGCCTATGTAGTATAGTGTGGTTTAGGCTACCCATTTTTTACCACAGTACAAAATGCCTATTCTGTTGTAGCATGGTGTATTTTCAACCACACCACACCTATGGTGTGGTTGAGAACACATGACCCACTTTCTCAAGTAACAAATCAATTCGTCTAATGGGTGCTGTAGCTAGGGGTGAGAAAAAAAAAACCGAAAAACCGAACTGACCGAAAAAACCAACTGAAACCGAATCAAAAAATTGGTTAACCGAATCGGTTGGTTCGGTTTCGGTTAACCGTCGATTAACCATTTAAAAAAACCGACGGTTAACCGAACCAACCGATATATATATATATATATATATAATATTTATATAGTATTACATATATTATATATTATATTTTATTTTGTTTTTAAAAATCTAATAAATGCCGCTAACAACGAATAAGACTTTTCAGTTTGGCAGTTTGAGAGTGTTCAAGCTGTCGAATTCAGTCTGGCAGTGGTAGATTGGCAGCCAGGCTAGAAGCCGAACAACTAAACTTTTTTTTTTGGCTTTTTCCTTTCTCTCTCAGACTCTCACTCTCCGTCTCTCTCATTGTACTTAGTCTGGTCCTCTTCTCTTCTTGCTCTTTCGGGCATTCAGCCAATCAATCCTCAGGCTTCAGCTAGGAATGGCACTCCCTCCGTCCCTCTTCGCCTTTTTCATTCTCTTCCTTTTTCTTTCCCACTCAACACGATGCACTACCGCTGCATCAAGATCCGGCACATCGGGGGATCTAGTTCATTCATCATGCATCCATGCCAGCTATCCAAACATTTGTCTCCACACGCTCTCCTCCTACACCGGCTCCACCAGGACTGCCAACGACCTTGCACAAGCGACCATAACCGTTAGTCTCTCCCGCGCTCGGGCCATCTTTGGCTGCATCGCCTGCCTCGCCAAGCTCCACGGTGGGAGCAAGAGGCAGCAAGGCGCACTGCATGATTGTGTGGAGCAGCTGTCGGACTCGATGGACGAGTTGCGCGAGACGCTTGTAGAGCTCCGGCATCTCAGACGCACGTCATTCAGGACTCGCAATTCCCCCTTTTTTTTTAATTGAGGGCATAAAAAAATGAAAAACTGAACCGTGGTTAACCGGTTGCATCGATTTGGTTTTGGTTCGGTTAAATGTAAAAATTGAATAAATCGGTTCGGTACAAAAAATCACCCCATGGTTCGGTTAACCGAACCGTGAGCACCCCTAGCTGTAGCTGGTCTTCTGTGCATGTGATTAAACCACCTCACTCTACTTATTCTCATTTTATCACCTAAGAATCAATAAAAAAGTGACGATTTKTTTTGAACAATCGCTTTCTCCTCACTCAAATCCCTCTCATTAAATCTTATATTATCATTCATCGAATCATACTCTTGACTAGAATACCCCTATTTTTGAATTTGGTCATTCTCTAATTGTGAGAGCACCAAATGTAATTTGAACCACTACATTTCTCCTCATTAAATTCCCTCTCATCAAATCTTATATTTAGGGTATTAACTCCCATTCACTCATTGAATCCTATGTTTTAAGTTATTTTTTTCACCAATAAATTTTATTAATTAAATCTATATCCAATACTTTTAACAACATAAAATACATGCTTTTTAAAATTGACCTAAAAATGGAACTTTTGTTCCATCTTTGTGGCAAGTAAGCAATTCAACCATCTAGGTCAAATGGGTCAATCACTCGATCCATGGTGTCATAATGGAATAAAAATTTTAAAAATATAAACAAATACAAAAAATAAAAAATATAGAAAAATTGGGCACATATCTAATGTTTTATATTGATCATATTAAAGAAAACAAGTATGATAAATAATGATAATTCTTATTGATGCTGGAATGAAATATAAATTTAAGACCAATCTGTGGTGGTAGGTTAACAGTTCAACCTTTTGAGTCAAATGTGTCGACCCTTGATATGACAATTAAGTAAAAATTAAAAAAAGATAAAAACACAAAAACATTATGCAATAATATTGAAATTTGTAAAAAACATTTAGGCACTTGTCTAATATTTTATATTAATCATAAATTATCAAAAATATTGCTGCCAACGATGGGGCTGGGGGCAACAAGGTAACTTCGTTGACGTCCGAGGTCGATGGATCCAACTTGTGAGCAGGAGAAGGGAACACGTTAGAGGCCCTGGGTGTTATCCCAGGGGCGGAGACTCTGATGATCAAGTTAGTCAGGTGCTGAAGAGGGGTCAAACCAGGCTTGAGATGAGGGCTCAGAGCTTATTCCTTGAGAGCTCAAAAGAGGTTTCTCGAGATACTGAATGCAAGAGAGAAAGAGTGAGCAAGATGGATTTACCTTGAGCTGGGCATCCCCTTTTATAGATGACCTTGCCATGTAGTGGTTGGAGGCAGCTAGAGACGGATGGTTAGGATTCCATCCTGCCGATGCCACATGGCGCAATCCGGGGCCTGCCATGTGCACCTACATCAAAAAAATATTTTATATTAATCATATCAAATAAAAATAAAGTGTGATAAATAATAGTTGTTTTATCACACTTCGACCTCTGATTCCCTTTACCTCCTCTCATCCTAGAAATCCTCAATTAGTATAACATCTCCCTCAGTCAACTAGCTCCGAACGCGGTTAGGATCATAGTTGTTGTGCTGGTGATGGCTCGCCTCCGAGGTGTGTCTGTGACCTTGAACATCTTTCGAGGTCTATTTGCCTTGAGGAAGCATCCCGCTRGGGAAGACTTGTGGTACTTCTAGGGCTGACGTGGTAGGGTAGTGGACAACCCATTGTCCGTCCACAACTAGAAGAAGAAGTACTTCTTCGTCTCTTGTTTGGAGGGGTGGTCCTTCAGGTATGACTGGGGGAAGCCGGATACGTTGGTTGAGAGGATTAGGCCATACAATAATGAGGAGTTGACCGTTATGACTCGGATATGGTTGAGGAGGACGATTCACGCCGAGCCCTTTATAGCGGAGGAAGCCTTGGTATGGGCTGGTCTTAGCCCTGCCCCCCTCAGTATGGGCACTCCTGCTGTCGGCTATTTACGTCATCTTCTTTGTTTACTTTGTCTTTCTTCTAATGCTTTCCTTGTATGTTGCAAAAATGGACTAGGGCATGAAAGATAGACTGATGCAGCTAGCTAGGGCTAACGCCAAGAAGGGGCTGACCGAGGGGCCTTCAAAGAGGCCTGCTACGAAGGAACCGCCTCGGGCAAAGGTGCCAACCGAGGCCGAGAGGAGGGTGGCCACGCCCAAGCGACCAATTGAAGCCCCTCAAGCTCAGAGGGCGAAGAGACTAGTGGTGAGGGACTGCCCAACCGAGGGTGTTGCCGGAGTCTCTCGGTAGTCGGGGCCTCATTCATTTGACCCCCACAAAGACACGCTGCTCCCGGCTCGTTGAGTTTTCTACCCCAAGTGGAGTGTCAAGGAGGGCAACTCCCTCAGCAACCCCGGCATCGGCTGAGCTTTGGTGATGGGGATGCTCCTGATAGGGGACCGACAGTCCTGGACACAAGTTTCCATCCAAGGGGTTTGGGACACCCTGCTGGACAGGCTGACCGAGGGCAATAAGGTAACTTTGCTGACGTCCGAGGCCGATGGATCCAACCTGTGAGCAGGAGAAGGGAACACGTCAGAGGCCCCGGGTGTTATCCTTGGTGCAGAGACTCTAACGGTCAAGTTAGTCAGGTGCTGAAGAGGGGTCAGACTAGGTTTGAGACGAGGGCCCCGAGCTTAGTCCTTAAGAGCTCAAAAGAGGTCTCTCAAGATACTGAATGCAAGTGAACAAGATGGATTTACCTTGAGCCGRGCACCCCCTTTTATAGCTGACCTTGCCATGGAGTGGTTGGAGGCAGTTAGAGATGGACGGCCAGGATTCCATCCGATCGATGCCATGTGGTGCAATCCGGGGCCTGCCATGTGCACCTACATCAAAAAAATATTTTGTATTAATTATACCAAATAAAAATAAAGCGTGATAAATAATAGTTGTTTTTATTGATGTTGGAAATAAAATATAAAATTTAAAGCCGACCCAAAAATGAAAAAGTGACAGGATATGGGAACTGTGTGATGCATCAACTTGACCTGAGGACCCATCCCAGCACTAAATTAACTCTGTTTTGGGCATGTAACTACTTGTGAAAGTTGGAGTATATCCGTCGATTTGTATGCTGTGATGAAGGTGCTGTCATTGTAAACGTTCCTGATTTGAAGACTCAGTAATTGCAACTTTCTGCTTTGTATAGGGGAAGCTTTGAGATATGTGATAGAAGTCTCCCTGGGGAATTCTACGATGGATTTCAGGCTCATCCTCCAGAAAAAGTTTCTCGGAAGGCATATGAAGCTTCCAAAAAAATGCCTGGAATACTGCAGTTTAAGCTGCAACCCCGGCAGAATGTTTGGTCAGAGATCTTCCACAAGTGTCCTCCTGCTGGAAATGATGTTGCTTTGTATTTCTTTCCTGGGGACTTTTATAGGTTTTGTTGCGACACTTATTTTGGAAATCTAATTTGAAATTATTTATAGAGGAGACGCTATTGTTTTTTTTTTTGATCAGATGCTATTGTTGTTTCTGAATGCTTCATCTCATTGTAGGTCCAAGGAGATGTACAATTCCCTGTATGATCTCATTGAGAGGGATGATTTAATGATGCTAAGTTCCTTCAATGGTCTTGAATTACTGATATTTACATCTAGAGAGCTGCCTGTGGATTTGCAGAGTAAGTTCCATGTTTTTTTTTCTTGTATTTTTAGTTCAAGAACAATCTAATCTTCTTTAAAATACCTTCAGGAATCTCCAAAAATTACAAATAGAATAAAGCTGTAACAATTTAATCAAGAATGAGAGAGTAGGGAAGAGAAGAACTTAGAAGAGAAAAACTGAACTCATCTGGATGTTTTTTTTGATAAATAACTCATCAGGATGTTTGCCCATTCATTTATTCCTATCACATAACTCATAAACACTCGAGACTGAAAATGACAGAAATAACCCTTTCAAGCTTCAACATAACCAATGGATAAAACAGAAAATAAAAACCAAAAGATGAATATTACTATCAACATTCTCCCTAAAGCTAGCAACAACTAGATTGCCTGAAAGAAATAATCTAATAATCTGATAACAAAACAAAAAACAAATGGCCCGTAAACATTAACAAAAGATCTCTTAATAAAAAACTAAAGCTTTTCAAGAATTTCATTGAGCATGTGTGAGGCACAAGAAATTCTGGTGTTGGAAATACCTGAACAAGTCAGCAACATGCATCAACATGGATCTTCAACCAAAACAAATAAGCTCCTTATCGAAGAGTCATTCCCCCTGCTTTCTTATAATTGTCAGATTTGGTTTCACTTCAACTTTCAACTGGACATTTGAGGTCCTCGTAGTAGCACAAAAACAATACTGTTCTTGTGATCACTCTAGAAGAATTCATATCAAGCTTTGATGATCATATAACAAAAAACGGAATCACACTTAACCGTAGCTCTAAACAATGTTCAAAATATCACCTCTACAAGACTTGTTGTAACTGGAGCATTAGTGGGTGCTCAAACCAGAGATCTTGGATACCTTAAGAAACCAAATGCAATGATCCAAGAAAACTACAATCATACTTACGTCCTTTTTTGTTTCTCTTCTACCTTATTTTCTTCCTTTTTGCTTAATTTTGTTTGAACTAGAAAGGGTACTCTAGTTGCAACTAGTTATATAAATCTAAAGATGCATCATGAATTTATATGCATTCAATATTTATCAAAAAAAAATTTATATGCATTCAAAGTAGATTATATAATTCTACACAAAAGAACAAAACAAATTTGAAATATTTACTCCTGAAGTTTGATATTAATCACTTTGTACCAATGAGGTTGCATAAAATCTGAAGGTCTGGAATGGCTGGCTTAATAAGCTTTTACCATGAGCATGAAGCTCTGGTCAATTTATGTTGACATATTTAGAATCTTCATTAGCTTTAACTGAGTTTCTATTATTTGATAACATATCTTGTCATTGACAGGAAGAACTGAAATTCCAGCCAATGTTTATAGCATAAATTGTCCTTTAGTATATGCTTCATTAAAATTGTTTTTGAATGGCCATTGGCAGGGCATATGCATGTCGAAATGGCAATATTTGCCTGTTTCTTTTAATTCTCTCTAGAAGTAACTTATCTAGGAGTTCTCATGAAAAGTATGGCTTTGATGTTTGCAACAGGGATAAATATGCCGTTCTTTCTTTGGGGAATTTTCCGCGTCCAACATATAAAAGAAAAAATTAATCATGTACAAGAATTATGCTCTTCATCTGTACCTCCTTTGGAGAGGCTACAGGGCAATCATGAAGACAATGATAACCCGGAGGTCATTGACATGGAAGTTGACATGGTAGGTGGGAAGGATGTTGGGAGAGTGGATATACCTGTGAAGCGTTTTATTACTGGAGGAACTATAACTCTGGGGAGTTCACCAAAAATTAAAATAGAAAAGTGTAGTGGCATCGGTGTTCTTGGGCTAGTTGGAACAGTTTCAGGGGTGGATGCTTCTGAAGATCCATTTCTAAAACCACTCTTGAAGGTCAAAAGAGAATGGTACAATAACCTTGATGCTCCCCCTGGATTTCCCAGGCATGTTATAAGCAAGACTGCCCAAACAGGGCCTTTGCAAAGGCCCGTTGATGATAAAGAATTAACAGTTACAGGTGTGGATGCTTCTGAAGGTCCCTTGCAAAAACCACTCATGAAGGTGCCAGTTGTTCGGGAGAATTTGCACAGTAAAGCTCCACATCCTTTATCCAAGGTCAAAAGAGAATGGCTCAATAATCTTGATGCTCCCCCTGGATTTCCCAGGCATGTTATAAGCCAGATTGCCCAGACAGGGTCTTTTCAAAGGCCTACTGATGAGAAAGAGTCAACGGTTACAGGTGTGGATGCTTCTGAAGGTCCCCTGCAAAAACCATTCATGCAAGTGCCAGCTGTTCAGGACAATTTGCACAGCAAAACTCCACATCTTTTATCCAAGGTGAAAAGAGAGTGGGACCATAACCTTGATGCTCCTCCTGGATTTCCCAGGCGTGTTATAAGAAAGACAGCCCAGGCGGGGTCTTTGCTAAGGCCTCCTGTTGATGAGAAAGACTCAAAGCACTGGAAAGAGCAAAAGAGATCATGATTCCCATTTCCCAGGACCCAGAAAGCAATTCTCAGTCTCATTTTAGAAATCTGTACAGTTGAGAAATCTGTGTTATTCCATGTTGCTTTTTATTTCTGTCCTCATGGATGGCATATGCCAGGGCATTTCATTTAGCTCTCTGTATCACTGTATGTTTATTTTGCGGTTATACTTTTGTACATGCACAGGAATATTGAAAAGAAAGTTAAAAAAGGGGGGAAAGTTTTCCATGATTTTCTTGTTTCATCCATGGTTCATTTGATGGTCTGGTAGTAACTAGCAAGGAAATTTGTAAAACGGTAGAGGATGCGCATCCAGGGAATCGAACCCTGGTCAGTACCGTGGGAGGGTACTATGATACCACTACACCAGATGCGCAGATGTTGAGTTTCTGAAAGCGACATGATCATCAAATCTCTAATGAGTAAAGGCTAAAGCCTAAAGTTGCCGGTGGTTCCATGCTTCCATGAAAATTGGGAGAGGATCTGAATAACCAGTCAAAGCCAAAGGTCCTGCCTGCACATCATCTTGACCGAAATTGGGAATGTCAGATGGGATTGAGACCTACTCAATAGTGCTCATGTGGTACACGTAGCAAGTTAGCCCCTATACCGTCTCAGGTGTGGTAGCTATATCCTTATACTTTGCCACGTGGCAAATAAGGGAGCCTTTCTGCGTCCTCTAAATCCTTGTTCCTTGTTGGCGGGAACATCTTTGAATTACTGACCTTCCTAACGCTTCAACTATACCTCCGGCCCCGAGCAATTTGACACCTATGACCTATCGTGTGAGAGAGAGAAAGAGGACTAAGATTAGGACCACGAAGTAAAAGGGGCTATTTGACACGTACCGTGTGATTAGCTGACTTTATTCTAACTTGACCTCGGAGCAATTGGCACTCGCACTAGAGATGCTGAGAAGTCTGAGATGCTGCATCTATCGCAACTTACTTTGGTAGCTCGCGAGCTACGGAATCTGGAAGAGGTGGAGGACGAATTCCAAAGTAATTTCCAAAAATGTTCCCTCCAAAAACTACGAGAAGATGGAAAACGACAGACAGACGGAACTTTTCAATTGATTCGTCTTTCAACCCAACTCTTCCATTTCTCGTTTAATTTCATCTCTTCTCTTCTCTGGTTTCTTCTTCTTCTTCTTCTTCTTCTTCTTCCCCATTTCTCAGCTAGTCTTCAAGTGTCAAGTGAGCATCAGCATGGATTCAAAGAATTATCAGCACCGTCCACGTGTCGGATTCTTGTACGATGAGAGGATGTGCAGGCACTCCACCCCCGACGGCGAAGATCACCCCGAGAATCCCAATCGAATCAAGGCCATATGGCAGAAACTCGAATCCGCCGGAATCCCTGAGAGGTCAGTACTACTCTGATGAACTTTATCTGTTCTTAGTTTTTCCCGATTCGAAACCCTAAAAAGGTTCTTTGTACGGAGATCGACCCTGTTTCTGAGATTCCTTACAATGGTATTTGTTCTAACCATTTTATTTGACAACTATTGCAGGCGAGTTCCGATTAGTTTTTATTTTGAAAAACCMTGTGTGTGTGTGTGTGTGTGTTTTATGTTTTTATTCCAGTTACTGATTTCGAGGCTTGTGTGATCATTTAGTGAGATCGTAATGATGAATAGAGCTTGTTTCATGAGCACTGTTATTTGGGTTCGGTTATGTTCCATTGGAATTAGCAGTGGATTGTCAAAAAAAAAAAAAAGGAATTAGCAGTGTATTTGAAACAAAGCAAAGAAGGAAGAAATGGTCACTGGGAGGGTTAATGACATTATCGACCTTCAAAGACGTTAAGCAGAACTCTTAATGGCTTACTCTGAAATATTCATATCATGCTTTACATCAGGACCCGATATTGCAACCTCAATTACTACTCAAACATAAAAGGAAATTTACTGAGGAGTAAAATATTTTAATTTGTAAGCAATAAAAAATATTTTTGGTAGTATTAAAAAATAGTTTAACTACCTAATAAAAATAAAAATAATATTTAAACTACTAATGGGTTACCTAACTACCTGATAAAACACGACTAAGCAATAACTAAAAGTGTGGCATCACATTTCCCAACAACGTTCTTCTGGGGCCAATATGGAGGTTTAGGACCTTGTTCTTGTATTAGGAGTTCCCGAAACATGTTTTGGGTGTTCTTTCTCTTTGTGTTTTTACCTAGAAACGTAAATGAGGAATTTCCACGGGTGCTCCCAAACCTCAGGATTTGGCTTCTGATGTGGTCACTCAAATATTTGTACCTTTGGTTTTTTATTGGACATTTATTCAAGGTAAACTTAACTTTGAGAACAACAAAGAATCAACTTTTTATCAACTCTGAAATCTTTAAAGTTACCAGATGGTCAATCATGATCTCATAACATCAATTCTTTAGATCAAGCAGGAAGAGGACCAGACCAAATTGTAGCTTGTGTCAACAATCTTACAGTTCTAAAATATAGAACTATGAATAATTGAATTCCAGCATACATAGAATTAAGGAATTTGTCATGAAAAAGTCAATCTAAATACAATGAGACTAATTGCTTTAAACTTCAACTTTAACTATTGTTTAGTTTCTTCTGTGGTGCAGTTAAAAGATTAAGTTTTACTGATGTACTTGGACACTTTGATTCTTACATCAGAAACTATACCCCAATTTGGATGGTATTCTAAATAGAATTGGTGGCTTTATCGTCCAGATGTGTTGTTTTGAATGCTAAAGAAGCAGAGGATAGGCATATAGCATCAGTTCATACACAGAGTCATATCAAATTGATAAGGAATATTAGCTCGAGAGAATTTGATTCGCGAAGGAAAAAAGTTGCTTCAAAATTTAATTCCATATATCTCAATGAGGGCTCATCAGAATCTGCTTATCTTGCTGCTGGCTCAGTTATGGAGGTAATGTTTTATTGCTTTTAAGGATTCAGTGGACATCAAGAGCTGCAAACGGGTGGGCTGATACACTTGCTAAGCAAGGGGTAAATAGGGAACTGGTGTATTGGGCACAGTTGTAATTGTAATTTATGTAATGGGGTGAGGTCACAATATCTCCTCTGGGGAAGCTGTATCTGTACATATATTTCTTCTTTGCTTAATGAAATATGTTAATTATCCAAAAAAAAAGTGTCAATGAGCTTTTGCGAAGGCTATTTTCTTTGTCACTCATTTGTCAAGCATGGGCTGCTGCCATCTCTTTTTGATATATACTTCTAGATTTCCGTTCTGTCTAGAATATTTGGACTAAAACCACCATATAAACACTAAGGGGACTTGATGGGGACCATATTGGTGAACTGAGAACAAAGAGATTTGTCATCATACTTCAACTAGTTGAGACCATTTGGTCTGAAGATTTGGTACTTTACAAATCTATCCTATTAACTGACCCAAGTTTTTTGAAACAAGTTTTCCTTCTTATTCGAGACATACATTTTGATTAAATGTCAATTACCATAAACATCTTTATAGGAAACCCATAAACCATGTGAATTTTCTAAAGCACACTTTCGGTGTAGCTCAAGTTGCCTCAAACTTCTAAATTATATATATATATATATATATATTTTGGGGGTTTTATTTATGTTTTTCTTTCTTTTTTTTCGTTCATGAATGTATTATCTTCAGCATTGTTAATCCTAATTTCATCTGTTTATTCTAGGTTTCTGAGAAGGTTGCAAAAGGGGAGCTGGATTCTGCTGTTGCCATTGTTAGACCTCCTGGGCATCATGCAGAACCAGATGAAGCAATGGGGTTTTGTCTATACAACAATATTGCCATCACAGCAAGCTTTCTCTTGAATGAAAGAGTATGGCTGTGTTCCCATTTAAATATTTGACCAGCTGTGGTTTCTCTTTTTAATCAAGATAGAAATAATAAAATGCACTGTCTAATATTTTGCTTGTCAACTCAATTGTGTCTCTTCAGTACTCTTACATTGATTTTCCGCCACATTGCAGCCAGAATTGGGTATTCACAAAATTCTGATTGTTGATTGGGATGTTCATCATGGAAATGGTACCCAAAAAATGTTCTGGAAGGACCCTCAGGTGTTGTTCTTCTCTGTTCATAGGTATATAAGAATGTTAATCTCTAAAAACTTTTCCTACTCATAGGTTTAAGTTTTTTGACCTTATTGTTGCAGCCTTGGCCCTTTGAGCAGAACCTGTAATGAAGATTGGAGCTCTAACCACTCTTGTTATATCAATTTCATTGATTTTCTTGAAGCATTTTTTATCTATTTCTTTGTGGTATTTGGTTGCATTTTCCAACACTTGGACTAGATATCTTGACAGATTTGACAGACTTGAGAGTGCACCTTAGCTGGATTTTCTGCACCATTAACCACCAGATTGCATATTCAATACCAAATAACTGAACAGAGTTTACTTTTCATTGTCTTAAGAAAGAAGGAAACCTCCAATCATTATTTTGATGAGCTGATTCTATCCATGCAGGTTTGACTCTGGAAGCTTTTATCCAGGGGGGGATGATGGTTTTTACACTATGGTTGGAGAAGGATTAGGTGCAGGATATAATATAAATGTTCCTTGGGAGCATGGGCGATGTGGTGATGCAGACTACCTAGCAGTTTGGGACTATATTTTGATTCCTGTTGCCAGGGATTTTAATCCAGACATTATCCTAATCTCTGGTGGATTTGATGCAGGTTTGCTCTAGTCATGATAACTGCTAAATCTTCACATTTCTCAGGGCCACCGTTATATTCTTTATTTCTTTAGATTTGTATTAATTCGATGAGACCTAGGACCTTCTCATTTACTGAATGATAGCTACAGGTGGAGGTGGCTATATATTGTTGTCCTACCATTTTCCCAAGAACTTGCCAATGGTGAAACAATCCCTTATTTTTTCAGAAGAACAAATTGAGGAAGATTTTTTTTTCTGCTTTCTGTATTGTATTTATATTGGGAGGCTTATTAGCTATGTAGCCATTGAAAATGTTCCTTGATAATGATGCATTCCATTTGTCAAGTCTTTCTAGGAAAACTGTTAAATTTGGGTAATACATGAATTGCAGTTGCCTCTGCTAACTATTTTCACATATTAAATACCATTGGTCCATCTCTTGGAACAGCCACAGGTGATCCTCTAGGAGGTTGTCGAATCACACCATATGGATATTCTGTTATGATGAAAAAGGTTAGCATTCAATTAAGCCTGCTCTGTGTGTTCTCTTTCTAAACTTTATACTCAGATTCCAAAATAACTCATTATATTGCCCAGCAAAGTATCTCTCATAACTTTGCACTCTGAAAGTTGTTTTGTGGAGAATTCTTTCTCTTGCTTTTCATTTGATTTTTTTTTCAATTGCTTTTCAGCTAATGAAGTTTGCTCAGGGAAAGATAGTGATGGCTTTAGAAGGAGGCTATAATCTTGATTCTCTGGCAAATTCGGTGCTGGCATGTGTCAAAGTTCTATTAGATGATGAGCCTGTAGTTGGAACTTCAGAGGCCTACCCATTTGAGTCGACATGGCGTGTGATACAAAAGGTGATGATGTAATGTAGCATTGGTTACTTCTCATTTACTTTCGGTATCTTCTCTTCTATTCCTTTTTTGTCAAGTTAACCTTTACTTCTGCTATTAGGTTCGCCAAGAATTAAGCCCATTCTGGCCAATATTGGCTGATGAATTACCAAAGACCATTGAGAAGGCAACTCCCATTCAGGTGATACTTTCTTAACTTTTCAATTGTCAACTATATGGATGTGCTTATTGAAGTCAAATTTGCAAAATGAGACCTGTGACAGTCAAATAGAGCTTTATTAGCTATATGATTGGACTTTATATTTGCATATCTTACTGTTAGGAATCATACATATATAAGTTTTCTATACAAAAATCATAGAGACATCTAAGGGGCAAAAGTGACAAATTACATAGGTACATGATCATGTGTGTGGACATACATGAGTGGAAGATTCTGTGAGTGCCTAAAATGATGTTAAGTGGAGAAATGAGGATTAGCATTTGTCTCTTAATATCACCATTATTTGAGATCAGACATATGTCCTCTCTGTGTTAGGTCAACATTCATATAATCAATTGGCCTTCGTCTTCAATTCAAACACTTGGATTGAAGCTTAAAGTAGACAATATGTGTTCTATGATACCCATATTGTATAAGGGTGCCATTTCATGTCAGATATGGGTACTTAAATTTTTAGTGTAAATTCCTTGTCCAAATGTCCTTGCCTTATCTGGGTAACATAGGCTGTTAGGCACCTATGTTAGGCAAATGGGATGGTGGATGCTTTGGCTAAACAAGGGACTGTTAGGCACCAAATGTTTTGGGCAAAATTATAAATTATAAATTTGTCTTTGGGATGGAGAAATCTCCCAACTTGTTGTAATACTTGTGCTTGAATTTAATAACATCTCCTATTGATCCAAAAAAAGGTTGTGGCAGTTAATCTAGATGCAAAGGAACTCAAAGACCACTACATTTCGAAAGAAGTGTAGATAGAGAGAACAATACTAAATAGATTTTGCTTCTTTTTATATGTGATTGCAATTATGTGAGAGATACATTCTGACCCCAAAATTTATTCATAGATTGGATCATCAGTAATTTAGCATTAGGGAAAGAAGAGCTAGTTGGGCTAAAATGCCAAAACATAGTCAGGATTTAGAAGAAGTTTCTTTTTCTTTTTCTTTTTAATTTGCATAGATATCTATAGTACTACTTTTTTTCTTGAATTCCAGTATATTTTGAGCTCAAGTTCTGATTCCGATGCTGAGAATGATGAAAAGGACACTCCATCAGCAAACATGGTGAAGGTTGTTGAGGATGTTATCCAACCCTTGTCAATGCTTAAAGTTGATCAGGATAGTCATGGTAAAGTGATCATGTGAAATCATTTCATGTCATCATTTTTCCTCTTCTGTTCTCATCTGGAGTTTAGAAGTTAACCTTGGTTATTGGCAGATCAAAGTATCAATAGTTCTATTTCCTGGAGATCAAAGGTTTCAAAGATAGATATCTGGTATGCAAGCTATGGATCAAACATGTGGAAAGAAAGGTTCCTCTGCTATATTGAAGGTGGACAGGTAAGAAAAAAGCATGTACATGCGTAGTATCATGTACAGTAATTACTAATACAAGGAATAAGCAATCATAATTGGGCAAAACACAACTGTAACACAAATAAAAGGAAAATGCGTTGGAGGTTGTCTCTAATTAGTCTTGTCCAAACATCAAACTTTGGTCAAAAAGGCCTGTTGGGGGATGTTCTAACTATTTGTTGAGCTGCCATTCTGGTTCATTTTATTCTCTTCTTATGGCTGAGCTCTAGACCTGTTCATGGGCTGGGTAGACCAACGAGCCAGCCCGTTCTTCGTCAGACTTGGACAAGGTTTTAGGCCCACAGGCTTAGGCTTGGGCTTCCTCAAAAAAACCTGGCCGAGCCCCACCCGATAATATTTTATATTATACATACAATATATATATATATATATAAATATATATATTTATATATATATATATTCTTTGTTCCTCTTGCCTTTTCTCAAGCCATAGTTAGATTGCAGTATTTTTTGGGTTTTGAGGTCATTTAATATAAACAAATCAGTTTTGTTGTAGAGTAAAAATCAAAAAATCATTTTGCCCAATTTCTTGATCGGGTCTGGGTTTTGTGCTTGGGCTTGCGCCTGAACATGTTCTGTTAATATAGAGGCAAAGCCTAGCCCGAACCCATCCCAGCCTGGCCTGTGAACAAGTCTACTGGGCTCTCAAAAGTCAGAACCATGATCCTTGTAGTGTCAAATTGAATTACCTCCACATTAGGTATGCATTTCAGACAGGAACAGATGGTCTATGGCTAAACCAAAGCTTGGACCATACGAACTAGGCTACCATGAAAGTCATATAAGAAAAGAAAATAAAAATAAGGACCATATTTTGCTAATCCTGATTTGTGCTGTGATTTTTTTTTTTTTTGGTTTGAAAGGAAAAGGTAGGGAAACCTATACAAGGTTTGTAAAGGTTTCCTTACTTTTCCCTTCCTTTCCCTACTTTTTCCTTCAAACCAAACACAGCCTAATTGATTCATGTATTTAATAAAATATGTTTCCTGAATTTCTTGGTGTGACTTTTATCATCCTGGCACCTTGGTGAAATAGATTTTTTTTTTTTTTTTTTGTAATCCATCCATTGAGAAGGCATTTCTTGTTCGTAACTAGTGTGAAAACTCAGGAAGGGGAGACGAGAATTTCCAATTGCAATAGGTTTGCACCATAGGTCAGCACTTAATCCATATCTTTTTGCATTACTTGTGGATGAACTAACTAGACATTTATAAGAGGAGGCCCCATGGTGTATGTTTGTTAATGATACAGTACTGATTGATCAAAAGGTTTCAACTAAAACAGAAAACATATAATGCAATTTTAGCAAAGATATTAGTGACAATGGTGGTGCAATTGAAATTAATGATCAGGAGATACACAAAGCAACCCCTACTGGTACCTTGGATCAATGATCAATCATCCATAATGAGGGAGAAATTGAAGAGGTTATTGTCCTTGGAATTAGATCCAGTGTAGTGTCTAATTGATGTGTTCCAAGAAAAACCAAAATTTTGTAAGGAAGTTAAAAGATCAGCATTATTTTGGGACAGAGTGTTGGACAATCAAGAACACGAACTTCTAACTTCCATACAATAAAAATAATGAGTTCATTAGAGAGGACTTAGGAGTAGCTCCAATTAGTGAGAAAATGAGAGTCAACTAAGATATCTAGTCAATCTCAACTAGTTGGGACAAAGAGCTGCGTTGTGTTTTTAATGACTGATATTGAATGATAACATTTTACCCAAGAAAAGATCTTGAATGATATTTCAAGGAACTCTTATACTTAGAAACATCGACTGTTACATAATGTTTAGTGCCTACCATGCATGAATTGATGGCAATCAAGGGACAGCTTAAATTACTATGGCATATGAACCGTATACTTAATGTGGCCATGACATCATTGTCATCACCTAATTCACCTATTTTGCATTTAGTTCAGATGCTTATTCTATGCATCACCTCTTCTGATTGATGTTGAATGACACTGTAAAACAGTATTCTGATCCCAAGAAATGCCTTATAGGTGGAGGGCATGAAGAAAATATGTCCAGGTTCACAAGATAGAAGCCTGCCAAAAGAGATTTTATGGAAGATTGTGCCTCACCGCATGTTCTTTGGGCGGTCACATACATATACATGGGGTAGTGGAGGAGTTGCTTTCCTTCATCCTAAAAGTAATGTCAATGATAGAGCCTACTTGTGCCTGTATAAAATAACGTAAGTTGTCTGTGATATTGCTGTCACGGTCTACTATTTTGGCTTGATGTGTATGCTATTTTTTCTTTTCTGATAAAGAACATTCCCTAAAACCCCAACTTGTATCCATGCAAGAAAAGGGGAAAAAAGGAAATATACGTTTGAAACTTTCAAAATGGTTGTTGAGTCCTAATTGCAATGCTCTAAAAGTGAATTCTTTCTTTACGTGGCACATGTGCAGGCTTGAGCAGTTTAACGACTTGTTGCTTCAGGAGAACAGTACTAACCAGGACATTACACCTCTGTTTGACTTGCTTGATTTGGACACTATTGTGGAAAATAAATCCATCTCTCCGGAGGCTCTTAAGGTTTGCCCATAATTCTCTTGAAATAGAAAATTTATTGTTGGTTGATCCTCTGGTGAAATCACTAGTAAATAAGTTAGTATTAGCATGCATGGTTCAGTATCACTGCATGCCAGATCCTTAACTATTATCTGAGTTTATTGCATGGATTAGTACTCCAATTTCAGCCATATACATTAGTTCTGCTTCTCGGTAGATCTCTAACTGCTATATGGTTTTGGTGCAGGGTAAATGGTACTCAAATGTGGTTTACTTGGGAAAGGAGGGAGATATTCCCATATTCACAATAACGTATTCTCTTTACAGATTTAGGGCTTTTTTTCCTAAATTGAATTACCATACGCAATTAGTTGAAAATAATACTGTTATTAGTTACACAAGTTGTCAACTACCCCAAAAAAGTTACACAAGTTCTGTTATTCTTTCAACGCAGGTGTTCTCTTTCTGATATTGAGAGCTTTAAATCTGGAAAGCTTCCAATGCATGCTCCATCAAAAGCATACAAGGAGACATTGGTGAAAGGTCTGGTACAAGGTGGGCAACTCTCAGAAGCAGAGGTCATGGATTACATTGATGATGCAGCTACTAAACCCTTGTGATAGCATTCATGGTATTGTCTTGTCCATACTATTTGTAAATCCTAGATAGCAATCTCAATACTGTTCTAAATTGTAGTGTTAAAAAGCATGCCCGCTTTTGGAAAATAGAAACACGGTACTTGCACCTTGGATGGATATTTTTGATGTTAAAAGAGAGTTATATTCATAGGCTTTCGATCTATATGGTTCAGCAAAAGAGCGTCAGATGTTTTCATTTTATAAATGAAGGTTAGCAATTGGTAAGTTTATCGTATAGCTGCTTGTTTATTTATTTCAGTAGCATAAAAGGTGATTACACCCTCCACATCCAGTTACATTAAATGAGGAGCATGGTGACAAGACAGACAAAAACCATACATAAACTACTAAGGTTTGAGACAGGATTAACTGAGCGCTTTAACTGTTCAGCAGGCTGTAGATTGATGCCAAATTCAGTCCACCCCTAGGAAATCATAGCTCCACCTAGGGGTGGACTGAATCCTGCCCGTGGATTGATGCCAAATTCACGGGCAGGATGTAGTTTATAGGGGGGCTACTAGTAGATTAGGAGGGGGTGCAAAAAAAGATTTCTGAGGGGGGAGTGCAGTTCAAAAATCCCTATATTTTACGGAGTAGTACAGACAGGCCCAATGTAGATTTCTGATTTCCACAGCAGAGCTATAAACATTCAAAATGTCAAAATCCCCCACTCTACACACCAATGTCCACCTGTGAATTGACATCAATTCCGAGTTGGCACCTACCCAACTGTACTTTGGGCCTAAAAATTCTGACCTTGGGCTGAACCATCATTCTCCCTATATTTTAAGACTGGTGTAGTCTTGTCATTTATCATTGATTCCACAGCCTGCCTAACAGTCCAAGCATTCAGCTAATCCAACAAGGTTTGTGTTCCAAAAGTAAATCAAAACCATCTTGGTTTAAAATACTTGCTTCTCAAAACTAAAAACCAGAAACCATGGTCTTTGTTCGTTTTTATCCAAAACTGTGTATGGGCACATGGTTTATTTTTTGTTTTTACTTAACTCTAGTTGCACGTCTAAATGCAAATTCAAGGGGAGAGAGAAATAAATGGATTAAGCCTGAGTTTGTGAGTGCTTAAAAATAAGTACTTATTTGAATAAGCACTTATTTGGGACCGGAACACACCAATAAGTAATTATTTGTGTTTGGGAAATACGCCCATAATACGTGCTTATTCTAAGAATAAATACTTAAGAAGCACAAAATTTGGGTCTATTTTTAAGTGTTTATTTCCTTTCTGGCCTATCTTGATCCGCCATATCATTTTAAGAATGCCTATACTTCTTTTTAAAATAAGTGGTTTTTCATCAAATGCTCGTAAGTGCTTATTAAAATAAGCACTTGTTTTTAAGTATTTGTTCAATAAGCACTTATTTTTCAAGGACCCCTAAATTTTCCACTTGTTGGTCTGGAATTGGATGTGAAACTCTGCAAATGCCAGGGTTCTAATAAGGATGTTTTCATCTGATATTTAACATCATGTTTCATAAGTGCATATGACATTAAACAGAAGGGAATGGCAAAACAAAATTAACGTAATCAACCCCAACCCATTGGTACAAGGCTTGGATGCCGATGATGATCATATCCAAAAATTTGTTTCTTTTCAAATAACTATTATTTTGATGGTTTTAAAAATATGATTTGTCAACAAAATCAATTTGTTTATTCTCCTCAAAATAAAAAAAAATAAAAACTTTATAATATTTTTGTTGCTGTGAAGATTTTAAAAGCAAATGAAAGTCGTACAAAAACATTCATATTGTAAAATCCCCCTTGGTATGCCGAAAATCATTTTTAATGGTTAACCCAAACACGCCCCATTTGGTAACAGATAAAGTGGTCAAATGTAATTACGCCCTTTTTGCCAATACCCATACCTCCCCCTCCAARCCCGCCCTTGTGGCAGCGGGATTTAATCTGATCCCAGTGAAAACTGCCAGAGAACACAGCAACTGAGCCACCATCAGTTGGTAATTTTTAAGTATCAAATCAGTAAGGCATTGAATTCGGTAAGTAGAGCAGATATGAACGAATTTTGACGTATTTTGACTTTGTCTGAGCTTTGATCGTCGAGCTTTCATAATATTTGGCTACGTATACGACAGCCTAGAACGAATTTTGACGACTCAATATTCTCATCATTGATATCGAGCTTTATACATTTACAAGTGCACTACTCGGAGCAATGGACATAAATTCAAAAACACAAACTTTCTGGTCCCCAWAAAAAAAAATAATAATAACTTCCAATTACTCGTCTGTCATTTTGCATACCAAACATTGGTGAGCACGTAAATCAAACAGAACACCAGAAGACAGCAGAATTTTAAAAAAAAAAAAAAAAATCATCTCATTTTCTTTTCCCTCCTGCTGTTGTTTGTGCCTAAAGGTAATAAAAACAATCGAAGGCCGTAAAAATTTTTGTTTTCCATCCCTTCATAAAAAATCAGCGCAGGACGGAACCTCAACATTTTCTATCCTTTATTTTTCTCTCTTCATTTAGGCGATAATCTTGGAAAAAGTTCCAATTCATTAGTTATGTCATCATGCTTCGACAGTAAATACTGCAAGGTACAAAAGAAGATTCAGTAATTGTTTTGATAATAAGAAATTGAAAGAGGTCAGATGCAAGGTCTTAAAATTTCAGAAAAATCATATTCTAACATTTGCAATTAAAATACCTTAAGAAAATCTTCACATTTAATAATTAGTTAACCATTCATGCTCCAAATACAACAGGATGCTGTACTGCCTATTAATACCTTACCCAGGACAATCCAATCTTGATTTTTTTCCATCTTTTCCAGAAGATAAATCAGCTAAATAAAATTTTTAATATAATATATCAACTCCAGAGGAGATAGCCCTGCGCAGATTATGCTACTCTTCTACTTTCTCATACTGACAAGCTCATGCAAATTCGATGGAAACTATAACATTAGCCTTCCTTTCATAGAATCCAGTTTACAAATTTCGGCTTAATGGGATGATTCTGGAAAAAAAAAAAGCCTCAAAATGAGAAGAGGAAGAAGAAGAAACCTTATCGTGATTTTAATGTAGCATGTCCAGTATCACCTAGATGCTTATGTAGTTTATTCCTGTACCAAAGAACCAATAAGAAGTCAGTTACAACCATCAAATGGAATAAAAACTACAGTTTCTTCTGAAGAAAACAAGAACACACACTATTCAAGTACCTTGTCTCAAAATTCTCTCCACAAGTCTCGCATGAATTGCCAGAAGCCTTTGATACCACCTGAGATGAAAGGATTGGACAGTTAGACAGGAGGCACAAAAGGAACAACAGTGAAAATCAGAATATATACAAGAAATGATGATCATATTAAAAGTTCAATTATGAAGAAAATCTTGACTTCATCAAACAATACAAGCAAGCAAGAGGGATTTATATGGAAATACTTCAATAACCATAGATGAAAATCGCATTCCCATGGAACATTTCTGCCTAGTTCTCATTCTTAAAATTCTTAAATGAAGAAATAAATAAATGAAGTGCTAATAGGGTGCACAAGTTCAATCCTAAGATGTAAAAGTATAGCTCAGGAGAATATTGCCTTGAATCTCTGCAGTGGGGTTTAACCAGCAGATCACAGAATCCGTCCATATGATATTTCCAGGCAAATAACTAGTGGCTAGGACTTAGGACTTGGGCAGGGAAGATTAACAATGTCATGTAGCATTAGAATTTTCCAAACATAGATTAAAAGTAGGCCAAATCTATGSTGCATGAACTGCACCTTGAAGCAAAAAATGTAAGCTAATGATAGAATGACATGTTAGAGTTGACATCTTTAATGTTGTTGAAGTCTTAACGGTAAATACACCTTGTGAAATGTGAACCAATGAAAATAAATAGACCATGTGACATCTTTAACGCAATTGATTGAAATCTTGATTTACATACCAACAATATTTGTCAATACACCATAGTTGGACTGTTAAAAATACACTGATTAAAACAACTGACAATTAGAGGGAGAGCACATTGTAGCCTCATGAAGGGAAAAAAACAAAAGCATGTTGTTCAGATTTGGGCAGCAGAAGAGATCATAAGGAAGCATTGAAACATTAAAAGGACACTTAAGGAGGTGTTCAACAACATGATTGGTTTTGTTTTTGAAAACAAAAACTGCCATATGAGCAAAATTATATTGTTTTTGTTGACATGGTAGTTGTTTTTGTATTCAAAAACAAAACTATCCATGTTGTCGAAAATGCCCCCTAAATGTCCTTTTCCCATACATAAATGAACAGAATGGTTGATCAAAGAAAATTATAAACAAGATCAAGTACCCTAACTTTGAGGGTTTGTTTTCCATTCTCTTTTTCCTTTTAGTTCCATTTGGGAAGAGCACGAATGCAAATATGTTCAGTGAAAATACAAGATTTTGCACCAAATGCAAAATATGGACCTTAGGCTCAGTTTGGAAGGAGTACAAATGCAAATATGTATTTTGTATTATTTTGTATGTATTTGTACTGTACATATTTGCCTTTCTACTCTTTCCAAACTGAGCCTTAGCTTCAATTTTCACTCAAATAGTAGGGCATTTAACATCTAGACTACAAGGGTAGGTCATTGGAATGGTGAATAAACACCTTAAACATGTAGGCAATTATACTTTGACTTGGTTTTCACATCCGGCATTCTACATCTGGCACTAATTTATGGTAAAGAAGATCAAGGCCTGAAGGGCATAAACCACATCATCATCATCCAAACCAAATAAAATGCTGTTATTACCTTTTCTTTCTTTCCTTTGGATGAGTTCTTTGACTTGGTTTTCACATCCTTCTTTCCAGTACCTTTCTTATCAATTGGTTGGTTTAGAACCTTAAGACCTTTGTCCAAAGGCCTATCAACTCTACCATTAGCGTCAGTATCCCCAAGTGCGTGGGACAACGCATCCTTTGTGCTTGAGTCATTCCGATCATGATCTTCGCTTGGAACGTTGTTTCCATTATATTTAGACTCGACTTCTTCTGCAGTTTCAACAATTTCTGTTCTCTGAACTTCTCCGTTGGTTTTCCTGCTACCCTCTTTCTTTGCTGCCCGGTTCCTGCGAGAGATTTTCCGGTTATCGTACTCCATGAAATCCGTCTCTTCACTATCATTTCTGGCATAAGACTTCGGCTGACGCTTTGAGGCATTATTAGTTCTGTTCTTGTGTTCGGACACCATGGCTTCAAGAATGCTTGCTTCCTCGTCAGAGCCAAATGATTCATCAAAACCATTGCTATCATTAACGAAAGAAACCTCAATTCCTTCATCATCACTGGAAATGCTTACAGCTTCTCGCTGCGCTTCCTGAAAATCTAAAGCATCTTCAAATTCCTCCCGCAATTCCTCTACAATGTTCTCACTACCCAATCCTTCCTCGTTCCCACTTTCTTCTTGATCATCCTCCATTTCAAATGTATCCCTGAGCTGTGCAACCTTTTCCCTGTGCTTCTTTGACTGCTCGTGATTCTTCCACTGCTTATCAGACTTAAACTTCTTACTGCAAACAACACAATACAGCTCTCTAGCATCACTCTGTTTCTTGTCATCGTCCGGTTCATCAAAATCATTCTCCATTTCCTCCTCATCGACTTTAGCCCATTCAGGCTCTTCGTACAACCGAGCTTTCTCTAATTTCGCCCGCTCAGCTTCTTTCTTTCGAGTTCTCTCCTCTTCCCTCCTCTTCTCTTGCTCCATATTCCTCTTCATCTGCATATCAATAACGCGTTTATCCCTCTTTTTCACAAACTCGGCCAACCCACGAACCATCTCGTTGTACTCCTTCTTCGCCCTCTTCCTCAGCTTCTTGTTCTCCTCCTCCATGAGCCGTCGTGACTTCCTATTAGGTCCAGCCATCGCATCGTACTCGTCGACCCAACAGAAATCCATCACCGTACAGAACCCTAACCAGTAATTGTAGAAAGCCGATACCTGCGCATAAGGACTTTCCAAATTTCCCATCAACGGAGCGTCCCTAACCGTTCCCGACCCCAACCCAAGCTTCTTCGCAAACATGACCTCCTGGGCGTAAATTTTATCGAAAACATCACCATAAACCTTGAAAAACCCTTTCCCGGTGTCTCCATAACCGGAATAGACAGAATTGGAGAAGAAAGAAAAGATGTTAGGGATGGTAGAGAAGCCCGAAGATGACTTGGATACGTTGGTGGCATCGGAAAATAGGATCTGGGAACGATGAGAGTCGTACCACGCACGTTCGCGGGGATCAGAAAGAACTTCGTAGGCATTGACGAGCTCCTGAAAGGCAGCGGTGGCTTCTTCCTCGGGAACACCGGTCTGGATGAGCTTGTCGGGGTGGCGTTGCAGAGCCAATTTCTTGTACGCAGATCGGATTTCTTCAGGAGAGCGGTCTCTGCTCAACGCTAGAATTTCGTATAGGCATCTCTTCTCCGGCGCCATCTCTTCTCCGGCCACGGGCCACCGTTTGTTTAGGGCTTTCGACTTTCGAGTTGGATCTCAAAATTCGTCCCTTCCTCTGCTTTTCATATAGGTTTTCACCATCTTTGTATAAACCAGAAACTGCGGATTCATAGTCGAGTTAGGATTCGGATTCAGGTAGGAGTAGGAAACCGCGTTATCTTATCGCACTCTATGTCTCTATCTCCAGGCCTGCATCCAGCCACTGAACCGCGGATTCGGGTAGAACCGTAGAAAAGTAGGAAACCGTGTAATCGCACACTGGGCCTGCTAGTGCTATCCCAGCTCAAAATTACTACTGCCCTACTGGGCCTCCATTTTGCTGGGGAGGTCATTGGCCCAGACTACTGCACTTGGAATTCAATTTGGTGGGATAGGCCCATTAAGAATTTTTGGAGACTGTCATCAGTCGGAAATTCCCATGAGTCGCGTCTGGTATTGCTTCCACCACAAACTCCACCGGTATTTAGCTCTAGCCCCTGTCCTTAAAAAACAAGGTATAGCTCCATTGTTGAATATCATTCGGCTCCAGTTCATACTACTGTTTACTATGTATGTGTTTGATTCCGTTTATGTTTATTGAATAAATGTTTATACTTTATTTGCTGACAAAACTGAAAAATGCAATAATTGCAATCATTTATGACAATTAAGTGTCACTTCAACGTAACAGTGAATAAACGCTTGGCCATTTGTGGTAGCTTCAAAAAATAACTTCTACAAACGGCTGACATGCACATAAACCAAAGTTTACTTTTTACATTTCCAATGTATGCAAAAGAGCAAGAGAGAGAAAATGCTGAGATGGTGCCTATGTGGCACCATCAATAAACGTAAACAGAACCAAACACCCTCTATATGATTCCAAGAATCAATATTTACTTAGAGGTATCATGGGCCAGTTTTGGGTTGGATCCATTCAAATCAAAATCAATTTTGACGAATTGCACGGACCAATAAGACATTGAATTGGACAAGTCTAGACTTAATGGTCCAAAGCATTTATTATATTAGATTGGACCTGGTCTATCCATAACAGATTTATATTGAATTGGATAGGATTGAACCAATATCTGGTCCATTGATAGAAGATAGAATACTGGTATCTATGGACCAGGTTGGAACCGATCTAAATTAAACCCAATTTGAACAGATTGGATGGTCCAAACATTGAATTGGACTGGTCCAAAATGTTCCAAAGTATTCATTGGATTGGATTGGACCAGATCTATCTATAATGGACTCATATTAGACCATATCGGATTGAACCAAATCTGGTCCAATTGACACACCTATACCCGGTATCACGCCATATCCTATGAGTGTCGGTTGTCAGGGTCATACAAGGATTTATGATAAATGGCCATATTCAGCAGTTAATACCCTTCACAAGGGTGGCATGGTTCAAAGCTTGAAAGCCGAAACAATTTCTTTTTTTTCTTTTCTTTTTTTTTTATGCTTGGAAGCAACAATTTCAATCCTTGCGTGTCACCCCCTGAATCATGACATAGCAATACTTTGAAACATGGTTTTTGCCTTGGAATTTGGAAAGAAGAGCTGCTGAACATGAATAATGGTGCTAATCGTATAAATAAACTCGTGTTTCCCTAAAAGGAGTATACTATATACAAGTCATGATCAGATAACTACTCACAATCAAGAAAAAACCAGCCCCAATTCAAGATTAGGCTAGCACCAGGCACTCACCTGCAATTTGCAAGTATATCTCACCAACTGCAAGTAGTCACTAACCAGAAATTCTCGAGAATTCATTGTGATGGAGTAGTTGGACTAAAGTTGTTCCTTTAACCTCCTCCCCCCCTCTTGACAGGAGTGACAGATAAGATTGATTTAGACCAAATTCTGCCTAGCTGATCTTTTCATTCAAAGGGTCGCATACCCAACTTGCGCTCCAAGTAACTGATGGAGACAAAAGGCGTTCCGTTCTCCATCCTGATGTCTGGAGCTGCAAAACAAAATTAATAGAGCAGTATAAGATGCAAGTTGAATAATAAACAGCATAAATAAGTTTTCATGTACTAGATATCTTGACTTAAACTTAATTCAAGAGGAGATGTGCAAGGCAGTGATGAAACAAATGAAGTCAGATACCACCAATCTTGTTGCTCCAACACCACCGCAAATGGACCATAACCCTATGTTAACCAGTCAAGGGACACTACCATCATTGCACTGACTATGTTTCAGACAGAACAAAGTATGTGTTTCAGGAAGAAGGTTTGTTTACAGACATCAGTAATGTTCAACGCATGTGACTTGTGAGCCATGTCCCATCCAAGAGGTGGCCCAGTGGTTGGGAAAACCCATTAACTAACACCTACCATCAATTGGTGTTCACAGACGGTACAACATGCCATCCATCTAGAAAGAATTCCTCCCAAACCAAAAAAGCATATGGCAGGGTCCCTGCAGAAGTTATCTAGTGGATTTTGGAAAGGAAAGGATCTTCAAGTAGGTAAATCAACATCATTAGAGATATGTATGAAGGATCTGAACTTGGGAAGGGGACAAGAGAACTCCCAATCACAATGGGTTTACACCAAGAGTCAGCACTTAATCTGTATCTTTTTTGCACCAGTTATGGATGAATTAACTAGGTATATACAAGAGGTCTTATGGTGTATGTTGTTTACTGATGATATAGCATTAATTGATAAAGCAAATGATGGGCTGAATGCAAAGCTAGAGCAAGGGAAAGATGCTTTAGAATTGGAAGTTTTTAAGATAAGTCAGACTAGGACAAACTATATGTATTGCAGTTTTAGTAAAAACACTAGTGACAATAGTGCTGCAACTAATTCATGATCAGAGATAGGCCAAACTATAATGACTGAGAAAGTAAAGAGGATCTTACCCATAGAATTAGAGTAGAGAGGTTGAATTGGAAAGATGCATCTAGCGTGTTGTGCGACAGCTTATATCAATAAGACTAAAAGGAAAGTTCTATAAGGCATTTATACAATTCAGCGTTGGCAGAATTGGACAGTGCTGACCAATCAAGAAAAAACATAACCAATAAAAGAAGCATGTTAAAAAATGAGTATAACCAAGTTGAGGATGTTGAAAATTGGGATGGGGTGGCAATACTAAAAAGGACAGAATCAGAAATGAACACATTAAGAGGACTTAAGAGTAACTCCAATTAGTGAAAAGAATCAAAAGATGATGAGTCAACTAAGATGGTTTGCTAATGTGCATAGACAACCAATGGCTACACTAGTGAGGAGTGACTCGGTGCAAGTAGAAGGCTCATCAAAAAAGGCAAGGGGAAGACCAAAGAAAATGTGGTCTGATGTGGTAAAAATGATTTAAGGACATACGTTAGTTTTATTATTTAAGGATTTACAGTTTGATAGAAAGCATGCTGTTAATAGAGCACAATGGTGGGAAAGGATTCATGTAGCGACCCCAAATAATTGGGATTAAGGTTGAGTCAAGTTGAGATATTAATATGATGATAATAGTAACAACATAATAGCAGCTTTACTTCAGTACCTTTGTCATGAAAACTTCATAGTGTTTGTCCATCCATTGGCGGCTTTCAGCATGCACAGACTTGGTTTTATCCATGATATTTGCCATTACAAGTGCATGCATAAATGACTGTAAGATATCAGCAGCTGTTGCCTCTTTATGGATAATAATATTGATAACTCCATTCCTCACCATTAACAAGTATTTTGCTGGAAGAAAAAAAAAATAGCCATATGAACTAGGGTTTCCTAAGAATTTCAAAAAAGTGGAAAGAAAAGTCTGATCTTAAGCTCCACCTTTCTTGTAGAGAGAATCTGGCAAGGCCAAAATGTCCATCCTGTAGTTAATGACTTAAACAATCAACATGCTGCCATGTTATAAGCAGAACATAATCTAAAAACTCACATTTGCTGGTGATTCAGTGAGGAAACCCTCACACCAAGGTTTACCCTCTTGTGTAATTTGGCATTCTTTGGTCTCCATACAGGTAAAACATGCTCCATGTGTGAAGCCTGTTTTGGAGTGAGAACTGACAATAATACAGATAGAGGAATTGATCAACATAAATTCATTGTTCTGTAAAGAACATTAATATTGTTGCATGTCTTTTGTTGAAATCAAAAAGGAAATGCATTGTACATTGATAACAGTAGCTGTCTCAACTAAGGTAAGCCAATGTCATACCAACACAGCTGAACGAATTAGTTATGTATCGATTCAACCAAGTAGAAATTTTAACACAATCAAGGGCTAGGTTGAGTTAGAACTAGATTGGATCCAGATCCACATACTGGTGACGAATTCATTTTAATTACCAAACAGGTGGGGAAAAAAGCAGGAAAAACAATTGTTGATGAGTTGTAAAATCACCTTGACCAGTTTCTATGAAGTGATGTATAAGTATCGAGCTCCTTTCACTGTTCAAGGTTGTCAAGCAAAGGCATCTAACAGCCCTGTAGTTTGCTGCCAATAGAAAAAGAAAAAAAAAACAAACATAAACTAAAAATGGCTGAAGATATTCTGTTTAGACACCAAAATAAGAAAACGTCTTATCTTGCAAGTACTGTGTTTTTCTGCCAGATGGAAGCTAGTGAGGCCCATCCAAACTGGAAAAAAAAAAATGACAAAGGCCCTCTACATTGGGCACATAGCAGTTCTCTTAACCATGCCAGCCTCATAACTTAGCATGTACTCAATCTCTCTTGTGGGATGGGCACCCATTGTATGATTGTATCTTATAATTTTTAAATAGACAAAAAGCTAGACCCATCACCTCATCTGACACATAAAAACTGAGGCCCAACATCAATTTATTACTGTTTTATCCAAACAGATGATGAAGGTACATTAAAATTTAATGATTAGAGGAGACAGTAAAAAGTGGAAAAGGCCATTTGCACAGTGTTGGTTCCAGACTTAAACCTGCATTCCCATGCACTCGTCAGCTCAAGTTTTTTACCATACATGCAGGTTTCTTTTGTACATTTTTTTCCTACATCCAAAAACATAACTCACATCCAGTACACCAAATAAGTTCTCGGATGATACATAACTAGAACTTCCAGTTTGGTAGGATATGGCTGAACTTACCATACATATGGAGCATGGTGAGAGACAGGAAAGAGAACCAGATAGCTAAGGGGTAACCCATAGTAACCCGAGCAAGTAGCATTCCTAACACCATCCCGACCATTGTAGCCACTGTTTCTTGGCTTCCTTCCTATCATAAAGCTAATATAAGTGGCTTGACTATGTAAGCAATTCATGTGGTTATCTTCATAGAAAGGATTAGTAGATACCTTGGCAGATATATCTGCTGCATTGTTTTGAAGCGAAAAATGCTGAGTCAGAGCAGCTCTTGTTGCCCCACTTGCGACACCAGCTAAATAGGAAAGCAATGTACAAAAAGGTAAATTTTGAGAAAAAGTTAACTTTATTCAAAAAGAAAAGGTACATGAGGCAATGTACACGACAGATAAACTCTCAGAAAGTTACAAAGGCATAGAGCTATCAGTAAAAAGAAAATCCCTGTGAGCACATCACTGACTAAAACTGAAAGTTACAAAGATACTTTTTGTAACTCTCAGAAAGTTACAAAGATACTTTTTGTAACTCTCAGAAAGTTACAAAGATACTTTTTGTAACTCTCAGAAAGTTACAAAAAGGTAAATGATAAGCAATAATAAGATGGTCTGCACCTCATTAGTAGCACATCACTGACTAAAACTGAAACCACAGTAAGGCATACTTGCTTAGGTAAATCATGGGATATCAAAGATACTATATGTGTATATCAAGCAGTATTAATAGAATCTTGTAATTCTTTCATAAAGAATGGATATAAATTGCCTGTTCAACTCGCTAAGAAGACTGTACATAACAATTGTTTTTGTTTCAGGGAGAAAGTTGCAACACTTATTCGACAAAACTAAGGTCAAGCTCACAATATTAATGCTTCAGATATGAAAACATTATAATCTAACCAGATTCAGAGAAAATGCTGAATGATAAAAAATGGTAACAAAATAGAGTACCATCAGCTTCCCTCCAGAGAAGGCCCACCATTAGATGCTTTCTAGCTCTGCTAACCCATAATTTTGTATTCTAAGAAGCAATAATCAATTAACCTTAGTCAAATTTTCAGTCTTTCTTTCATGAAAATAATGCTGCTGTTCCCTTGTTGACATTTCCAAACCAATGTTGATAATTTTTTATGTCAAGTACCAGTCAAAATTTATGATTGGAGCAAACTTGTTAGCGGAGAATAAGAAAAAAAAAATCCAGAAAAGGTGGTAGTGGAACAAATGTGCTGCATGGTTACAATAATATCTAACCACCAGATTCAACAAAAGAGAAACAGAATATACTAACTACATTTTGTCTTACAAACTTCACATCAAATGGTATAACTGCAGAATCAATTATCAAATCGGAGATGAACTAAATGCCTCGTTTATAAATTACAAGGTTTTCAAAGAATTTACTGAATGATCTTGAGAGGCTCCCCAAGCAAACTATTACCAAAAAGGCTGAAGGGAACAGAGGAGAAAGAAGGTCCATCAGCATCCCTGCAACCAAAATGAAGACCTAATGTATCATGTTTACTAGATAAGAGAAGGGTAAAATTATATGCTAAACAAGGGAAAAACCACAATATAGTGATCAGATGTAATACTTAGTAGAGCAAGTAGGGAAAGTGGACAATGCAATGGATACTGATACAGTGGACCTGTTACTGTTGCTAGTTTAAGTTTTAGGTACAACAGCTCCAATCAATTGGAGAAAGGAACCCCATAATATTATTCATAAACAAGGGAAAAACCACAATATAGTGATCAGATGTAATACTTGGTAGAGCAAGTAGGGAAACTGGACAATGCATTTTTTCAATTTTCATTATATAATGGCCACCAAGTCCAATGTTTTGGAGCATTTACATCTTGAGCTCACAAGCAWGGCCGCCAAGTCAAATGTTTTGGAAGTCTGGGACCAATATTGGGTAATGGCCTTCACATTGCTATATACAAATAGTAGCACACCCTGTTAAGTTGTGCCCCAAAACAAGTTAGCATCAAGACAAGGACTCCAGAAGTGCTCACTTCTCAATTGCACAATTGCAAAGAAGAAGATAGAAGAACTAAGGAGAATGTTAAGACAAGTTAACACCAATAGTGGACAGTTACAGATAAACAAACATAAGTATTAATCAGAAGCAATGAATCATATAGCTACATGGTTGTATGATAACCAGAAAAAATGTTGCAAGGCAATAGAATATTGTTGATGTCTTTCAAAATAGGTAATGAGAAACTTTATTAAATATATAAAAGTTTAAAGTATTACATGAAGTTTTGCAAAACAATCCAAACAAGGAGATATGATCCAAAGGACATATCTAAGAMAAACAAATGCATGATGTCCCAATCCCCCAAAAAACGACAAAGGAAAACACCAACATCTATCTCATAGAACTTCTTTTATGCAATCCTCTGAATATCCCCAAACTCTTTAATAACAACTCCTAGTCCATAATGCCATGATGTAAGAGTAGATGCCCATAGTAATCCTAGGAAGTGGTCTTGACTTGGCTGAAAGATCCACAAGGCAGCAAAAATAGGGTAGGCCAACTAAGGAATACATGTATAGAAAAATAAATAGATACTTGAATCGTTTTTTTTAACTGACTTAGTAATACACAGGAGAAATGTGAATGCTTAGATGGACGAGTAGTAAAACTAGAAAGGGCAGGATTAGAAACGGAGGAACCTATGAGTAGCTAAAATGTGAGAAAGTAGATTGATAATGGTTTGGTCACATGCATAGAAGATCATATACAGCACCTGTTAGAAAAAGTGGTTTGTTACAAGTTTATTTTAAGATAAATAAAAAAGAAAGCTTTATTAATAAAATAACAGATAATAATCAGGAGAGGTGATGAGAAATCACCAGCCAATAACAGAAAAGGATAAAGATACAAGATGAAGTAAAACATTACATCAATTTCTCCCAATCAAACCCAAAGAAGACCAAAAACCAGCTCCAAAAGACTCTCTAGAAACTCCTACAAAGTCAGGAAGGACTAGTAACCAAGAAAAACATTACATCAATTACAAGTTGAAGGGGCTAGAAGAGTTGGGGGCAGACCAAAAAGGACTTGGGTGGAAGTAACAAGAAATGATTTTAGCACCCATAATTCAACAACTGAAACAGAATGAAATGGTAAAAGAGGAAAGTAGCCAACCCCATATAGTTGGGACAAGGCTTAGATGATGATGGTGGTGGTGGTGGCCTAGGGATAGGAAACATTAGGTTAAGGAACAAAGCATTGTTGGGGAAATGGTTGTGGAGATTGCCGCTGGAACAGGATAGGCTCTGGCACAGAGAGGTTGTTAGCATACATGGAATGGCAGACAATGGTTGGGATGCGGGTCTCGATCCTAGGGCTTCTCAATGTTCTCCTTGGAAAGCTACTCATGAACTCCTGCCTTCTATCCTTCCTTTTTTCAAACGTGATGCTTGTGCAGGGAATAAAGTGTTGTTTTGGGAAGACGCTTGGGTAGGTGAGTTTTCACTTAGAGATAGGTTCCCTACCCTTTACTCCCTTTAAAGCAACAAAGAAAAAGTAATCTTTCCGTCTTCATTAATAATTTGTGGGATCTGGATTGAGGAGAAGATTAAGGGAGTCGGAAATGGAGATGATGGATGAACTTGTTGCCCTCTTAGGATCGGTTTATTTGGATCATTCTTTCCTGATTAGCAGAATTTGGAAACCACCCCCCTCTAGTGTCTTCACTTGTGCTTCTTTTTATAATGTCCTTCTTTAGTTCTCTAACCTTACAAGGAATTTTCCAACACAAGAGGTTTGGTGTAGTCTTGTACCTCCAAAAATCTGGGATTTTTTCTGGGAGGTTGCACTCCAAAAAATCAATACTTTGGAGTTGTTACAAAGAAAAAGGTCAAACCTTTGCCTTTCACCCCGTGTTTGTAGCCTCTGCTTGGGTTCTGGTGAGACAATCACTCACCTATTAATATCTTGTCTTTTTGTGTCTTTTATTTGGTCTTGCTTCTCTTCTCTCTTTGATTGTAGGTGGACCCCTCCCTCGGATGTGGTAAGCTTTATTGACCCAAACTTTTACAGGCAATCAAAGAAGCATGGTAGAATCATGTGGAGAGCAACAAGAGCAACTGTTCTTTGGTCAGTATGGGAAGAAAGAAATAATAGGATCTTTTCAAGGAGGAAATTGTAGAAGGAATAACTATTAAGGTTATTCACTAGTTGAAAACAAGTGAGTTGTTTAAGGACTTCTCAAGTGATGACATTTACAAAAGATGGGGTGAGGTGGCAGGTACTACATCCCTAAAGCCTGTGGTACAAGAAATGTGGTCCCCGCCAGATTTCCAAAGCATAAAGTTGAACTTTGATGGCAGCTCTATAGGTAATCCAGGCCCATCGGGTACACGGGGAGTATTTAGAGAGATTCATTAAGCGTAGAGGTGATGGCTTTACTTCAAGGCRTAAGGTATGCAAAACAAATGGGGCTGCATCAAATGGAGATTGAAGGGGACTCCAAGCTGTTAATGGGGTGGATGCAGTCAGGTTGCTTGGGAGCATGGAAATATAGACAGACGATAAGGGAAATAATCAATGTAACAGGGGAGATTAGTGTATGCTTTAAGTGGACAAGAAGGTCAGCTAACGGGCTAGCGGATAACTTAGCAAAACAAGGGACTGTAAGGGAGAACATGTTTTGAGCAGTGTTGTAATGAGTATGTAAATGGGGTCAACTTCATAATAGAAGTTGACAGTTTGAAAGATTTAATGAAGTTACCGTTTCCAATACAAAAAAAAAAAAAAAATTGATGTTGATGTTAGTAATACGAGTACTCTAGTGATACACAGATATAAATAAATTCACCAAGAGAAATTCTTCTGAGGCTTCAAATTCCACACACTTCTGAGTAGTGTTTTCAGACTGACTGGACTGGATGGATACACTATCAGGCTGGAAACCAGAAGACGAACAAATTATAGGCTGTCTAGTTCGTAGAAATGTTGACTTGGTCAAACCTACCTCAAGTATGTTTGTTAGCATCTTCTATAACCTACGATATTTATTGTTTTAAGCTTATTTTGATATAAAATAACTTTAAAAGATAACGTGGAACTATTTGCTTTTTCAGTTTCCTCCTTTTTTGCGTTTTTATTTGAGCAAGCCAAACTGTCAAACATTCAACCTGTGACCCAATGGCCAAAACAGTTTTGTGTCCAGTCCAAGACATGACAACATTGCTTCTGAGGCTTCAAATGTATGTTAATATTGTTTCCAAAATAAGAGGAATAGTGGACATTGTTGTGGAGGAAGAAGAAGAAGAAGAATGGACATTATACCAATATCATTCATAAGATCTGCAACTAAGCGCCACATTTTAGCATTGCTATCCAGATTAGAACCCTGAGAGCACCAAAAGAAAGAAAAAAGATACTCAATATCCTTTTCTTAGAATAATAAATATAAAATGGCATGCAATAGTCTAAACTAAAAATAAAGTAAGAGGAGAGAGATTATACAAGGAAGATATTAAGGTATCTTGGTATCAAGCATATAATTTAAAAGTCAAAAACAATTCTTTAAATGATAGGTGACTAGTTATGAAAAAAGAAAGTTCTGTTGACTGTAAAACCATTTGTAAATGTCATTCTTGTCTTCTTCACCATATAACTAGCCAGAATTTTTTAAACCATGATCACCATAGACTGTTGTTCAAGTAAAACATAAGCACATCCCACTCCCACTAAGAATGTATATGTGGACAAGTATACCTGGTAAAAAGTGAATAAGATGCCTCCAAGCATCCCAGTGAAATCCCTCAAAAACCACTGTAACAGTTTCCCATTTGAGACCAATTATTAATATAGTTGTTCAAAATGAATTAGAGGAAAAAAAGAAAAAGTCATAGGAAGCTATAAGCATAAGAAAGAATTATGTGGATTTTGGAACAAGTTACAAAATTACTTAAAATGGAATTAACCCAACCACAAACAGTTCACCTGAAACGTTGCACCAATTACAGTAGCAGATTTCTCGCCAACACCAATAGCACTCAGGAGAGCCTAACAGCAACTCATGAAGCATAAACAAATTAAAAAGTTGGAAAAATAGTCCTTCAAGGATCCAACAAAGGATTGAAACAGTCAATATGAAATACCGAGTCTTACTTGGGTGGAGAGCATGGTTCGTATATAAGTTGAAAGACCCTAAAAAAGCAAACCATTAAAAGCTGTGAACTCGATATAATTGCAATGAACCTTCACAGAATTGGTTTCAACAAAACAACTACTACCTGCAATGAATCCCAAATTTGGAAAGGGACATAATCTGGTGTTACACTACTTGGAAAACCCTGTGAACCCAGAAACACTGAATCAAGTTCAGAACATTATAATTCTAGTAAACCTTCAAAATGGAAAATTAATCAAGCCACAACCAGATATTCTAGACACGATGAGAAGGGATTAAACTTTCTCTTTCGTGATTGGTGAACTTCATATTTATCTGTATGGTTGTTACACTTCTGATGCAATATCGTGTGATTGACTTCCATTTCTCTAGACAATATCAAAGCCTTATTTCCCATTAATAAAGAAAATTGCAACCGGGAAAAATAATGTATTTTATCCGATTACATAGTTGTGTTAAATTCAATCAGCTAGCCGGCCCTTAATTTCCAGAGACCAGGATAGCATAATTTTTAATCACAAAAAGGAAAATACAAACAGACTAGATGAGTTAGAAACTAAAGTCGGAGAGCGAAAGCACAAATTCTCGAAGCAGACCGCTGAACCTCGAAATTCGTTAGAGGAAACCATATATGTCTCCAAATCCTCAAATATCAAAATCACTAAATGATCCAAAAGAGAAGAAAAAATAAAATGAACTTGCCTCTGGTACGAATGCTTCAAGAATCTTCCTCCGAACCTCGTTAAATCGACTATCAGATCTGTGTTAAGTTATAAAAGAAAAAGAAAAAAAGAAAGCCTCGATCTCGAATCAATGAAGAATAAATTATTTAAAAGAAAATAAAGAAAAAAAAAAATGAGAACGTAGGGAGAGTTGCAGAGAAAACGAGAAACCTATGGACAGAGAAGGAAGTGATGCTCGCGGTTAGAATTGCAGTCCTGGAGAGCTTCATGGAGGAAGATCCACTCCATTCCTCCACTACGATCTTCGACGTTATCTCCTTGTCTTCCATGGCTAACGCAGTGTGAGTGTGAGAGCGTGAGGTCAGAGTCGCCAGACTCCGAGCAAGCAGAGACCAAACCTCTTTTACGTACGCAACTTCCGTGGTTGCGCCAATGGCTTATGGCCCGATACGCGTATCGTAACGGACGATTTCAGTACTTAACGGGCTCTACTGTTTTTTACGGCGCGAAATACCGGAATGTAATGAGAGAGCGCTAGTGTTCTTTATCATGTTCCGGCTCTGCTGCAGGCAAGCATTGGTGTTTCTAAGTTTCAACCTCTAAAATGTCTTAAATGGTTAAAGTGGTTGGTTTGACGCATTCCATCACTCTTTAACTCTGATGGATTTTGGTGTATTGGTCGATCACATAACATTTGGGCTGCATATTTATCAATTTTTTGGTTTATAAATGTAAATACGGTTCACATTTTAAACTGTTTTTACATTCATCTTGTTTGTTTGAAACCGGTGCAAAGTGTGAGTCCATCATTAAATGCTCCAACTATCTTATGCTCCAATGCCTTAACTTTGATAAAACAGTTTAATTATCAAAAGAACATAAAATTGTATCAAAAAATTATGAACAATAATACTCTTTTTTAGAGTACAAAAGTGTCAGAAGATACATTTTTACTTTGATAATTATTAACTTTTTACGTATCAAATAAATACTCGCAAACAGGAACCGAGATACATAAATACCCCAATTCAGTATTTGTATCACAAACAAACGGAGCCTTGATATATATCAAAGCCTACTACTACGTCTCGAATTCGAATCACGTAGAGTGAAGCCTTTGGCGCATTGGTCAAACACATAACACATTACATGTGTAGCAATAAAAAGACAACTATTTGTTACTTGAACCTCTTGGAATTCAAAACAGTCTCCAACCAGATAGAAAACTAATTCACCACTTCATCCATCGAATCCAAGTCTAATAATACTGTTTTTCTATTTGCAGTAAAAATGACAAAAGCAAGACAAAAATTATATTGTTTAGAGAGTTACGACTACACCTACTTCGGCTTTACAGGTAAAAAGATGAACAAGCTTATGTCTAGATACTTAGACTGCCTTTGGACAAGATGCAAATGGAGTGTAAATCTGGATTCAGGGTAAATTTTTACTCTGCTTTATTTTTGCATGTGTTTGACAATATTTACATTGATATTAAAATGTAAAAGTATATCAATAAAAAAGGAGTAAATTTGCATTAAAGTGGGCTTTTGATAAAAATAAAATAAAAGTATATGATTTATTGGAATTCATGTTTGCATCCATGACAGTTAAAAATTTGTTTGGYAAGAAGGTAAATTTGTCAGTGCAAAACTAACCCAATTTTGCATTTTATATGATCTGTTTTACACTCTACGGTCTCTGCATATTTGCATTCACACTTATTTGCATTGTTTCCAAACACAACCTTATGAACAAAATGTACAGATTTAACAATGCCTTCCTTCACCCGGGTAGGGGTTTAGCCGTTTAAGGCTCTTTTTTTTTTGTTTTTGATAAATAGCCATTTAGGCCTATAAAATAGTTGTGACAAGTAAAATGAAGTCCCCATTAGATTAGACTCTGACTATGTGTTTTTATGAGACAGAGTCGTTCCTCCCTTAACTCATTTTTTGTTATTGTTTGGTTCTGCGGTTAAATCAATGTTTTAAAAAATGGCACGAAACTGTTCTAGCCACTGGTTTTTGGGTCAATGATTTGATCATCCAGTTCAAATGGACAACCCATTCTGACAAAAAATGAAAAAAAAAATTAAAATAAAAAACAACCAAACCATTGAACATATCAAATGGGTTGACAGTTCAACCACCCAGGTTAACAAGTCGTTAACCAATTCAACAAATTTTGGCTAGGGATCAGATTTGGGGTAAAAAGGAACCGGTTGCCTAAACCATTCCCGGGCCAAACAGTTTGACCGTCCGGGTCAACAACAATTCAAAAACCATGGGTTAAATTGTAATAATATTGTTCATGGTGCCTTTGTTGTGCTTCATGGGATTAGAAATAGTAGGAAAAGTTTTTTCAACCCAAACAAAGCCTTATTGACAAAGAATAAAAGAGGAAAATTTTAAAATTAAGATTGGAAACCAAGGTTCTAAATATCGATACGCCGGTAGGGGCGTGTCAGGTAGTATCGATCCGTTTTTTACTTTTTTTTTATTTTTTTCAAACCGGTTCAAGGGATCTAGTTTAAGGCTCCTCCACCCCCTAAACCGGTCAAAACCCCAATACACCCTCTATAGGGGCATATCAAGGTGCTCCCAATACGATACATATCAATTGATATGGGCCGATACATGTCGATAGTTTGAACCTTGTTGGAAACACATGGATTAGGGCATGACATAGTGGTGAACGATATGTTATCTTTTAACCTAAATATCAAGGTTCAATTTTCAAATTTTGTACCTTCGAGCTTTTATATCGATAAAAGAAATTTAATGAAGTTTATTAAACAATCTTGAATTTGAATGGACCGATACCATGAAAAGGTATGATATCTGAACATCTTCAACGTAGATAAACAATCGGAATTAATTTCAGTTTCCAGTTTCAGCCTTTCCACCTATACCATGTATCCATAACCTCAAAAACCACATATCAATACAGACAATACTTACTTCCTAAGCCTTGAGGATGCCTACTTCACATTCTTTGGTGATACATTTGTTAGACTGACTCTATTTGCTTATATCCACTGTAACAAAGTTAAAAGGTGAAAAGGTATGATATCCCAACATCTTCAATTTGCTGAAAATGGGCAAAACATTAGTGGACAAATGCCAGAACTAGAGTAATGTATCTCATAGCCGTCTAGTTTTACAGTTTTACTACAATGGGCATAACAATATACCGCCAACAGTCAATCCTCTCACTCTACATTGGACTTCGAAAAAATGCGGAATCGCTTCTGTTTTAAACTATTGCTTCCTATTATCCTATGTTGAATGATTGAATCAGCTCCATGGCTGGGAAAAAAATTAAATAGCCATGAATGCAAGAATTCCACATGATACAACCACCCATCTACATAATAAACTGGATGGAGAATGAGCAGTGACACTGAGAATGTTTCTAAACTTCTTGTAGGTTAGTCTCCTTGTCTATTGACAAATGTTTAACTTTACGGGAATCCTTACTATTTAAATCACCATTAAAGTGGTCTCTGAGGAACTCCACTGCCATGAACGTGAGAGCAGAGGCTGGAATATACCATATGACTCTGGGGACACTACCTCTGAACATTCCTTTCATTCCTTCCGCCCTCCAAATCCTCCAAATTGCATCCAACCAGCCGTTATACCTAATAGTGCATCAAAGTGTAAGTCCTCAATCAAGCATGGAGCTAATGAAACTATGAAAGCATTTTATACAGCTCTGGCACATTAGTTCTCTCTCAAAATCATGAAAATGGGTGAAATTCCTAAAACAGGAGATAATTATGACTGATGTCACATTATTTAAAAGCACCGAAGTGGGTTGATGGCTTTGGGACTAGCTGTGGGTGTGGGAGTGATGGGGTTGGTTTCAGTGTATGTGAGAGATGGAACTGGGTGTGTGTATGGTGGCTTGATTTCCATACATGATGTGGGAGGGGCGAAGATCCAGGGAAAGGTGACAAGCTGTGATACCGTATTGTTGATCCTTGTACTTGCAATCTTGTCTTGACAACATCAAAAGGAGTGGTGAGATATGCACTGAAACCTGTAAGAATCAAAATAACCATGAATTTCTAATTCACGTTTTATCTTTTAACTACTTTTGACATGCTGAGCCAAGCCATTGATATACAATATTGGCAGATTTTAAAACCAAGAAGCACATTCAGAAGACATACCACCAGCTAAACCTCCCAATACAAGTCCCTCAAGAGAAGTATTAACATGAAAATGATTTGGCATCCATTTTTGCTTCCCATACTCTGTCAAATCTTTAAGGGCTTCATAAAAGGTGACCTGTAACATAAATAAAAAGCTTGAAACACGATATTTAATTCAGACCTAAATATGAAGCCAAACAGTAAGCTTGGCAGAGTAACTGGAGCTTGGACTTCCAGGCATATGGAATAAAAGTGAGGCATAAAGTTGACGGAATTTAGGTTATTGAAGGAAAATAAAGGAGAAGACTAAAAGGAGCTCATGAAATTTGGATGCAACTGACTCCACTACGAAGGGTAGAACAAAATGCATTAGTATATGCTAGAATTGATCATGTCTCTCACAGCCCAGCCTGGTATTTCTTGTCAATCCTAGTTATTCTACCAGTGATGCCTTGTTAACCCTCCAAGCTTAGATGGGAGCAAATATTCAGGTGAAGTAGCAGTCAAGGGTTCTCATGGAGGGAATTAAGATCAACTGCAGCTTTCGAAACATACTCATCATAAAAGTGTCTCAATATCAAGATCACAGCCCTGAAGATTATTTTTCCATAACAGAGCTTCTAGCCTTCTACATGTCTCTACAGAAACATCCTTCTGAACACGAAGATTATGATGCAATACAAGATCACTTGTCATTAGACTCATTACGGAAAAATCTGATTAAAATCTTGGAACAAATTGAAGTAAATGGTCAAAATATGGAAAATTACCATCAGGCCAGCAAAAGGAACATCCCTTGCAAGTGTGGACCAGTATCTGTCAAAACAACCCAAAAGAGAAGCTAAATAGTCAGAAATCAGGCACTAGAATTTTATCTATATCTGTCCTCATAATAATGAAAAAATGATTAATCAAGTATTCAATAATTGCCACTCCAGAATGGCATATCCAGGATATGTTTCCTTCATGCATCCATCTGGAGCCATCATGAGGAAAATAGGAGGGAGAGAGAGAGAGAACAAGGCATCCAAGGAGGGTCACCTTGCTTCAGCGCCTACTTATTGTGTACATAGCAGCATTAATCAGCAGGCTAAGTTAATTATTTTCTTTTTCTCTACAATTATTAATCTGAACATTACTAGGAAAGGTTAATCCTGTAAAACTACAGTAGGAACAACTGCCAAAAATATACCCTGCATATAGGCCTTTCATGCCCTGTTCCTTCCAAATTGAAAAACCAGCCTGAAGCATTCCAGAATAGTAGCTATACATTTGCACTCCAGATTTCTTACATGCATTTTCTTTAATGACCATGGAACTCCAAGAGTTTCTTGTCCCTTGGACCTGCATACGTTGCTTTATCACTTCACAGGGTACATATATAAAAGATCCAAGTGTATCTCCTGAAACAGAAAGAAGAATATAGAAATTCAAAGCCTTCTGAAGAATGTAAACTGCTAGGAAGCAAGCAATAACTTACATCACAAATTTGACACATTGAGTCTTGCAGGCATTCAACAATAATGATATTAATGATAAAATAGCCATTGAAAATCAATAGCAGATGTATTTAGGACCCCTACTGACTAGTGGACCAACTAGGTTGTTTAGACATGAAGTATTTTGCCATACCAAGCAATGATTTTACTTTCGGTAGAAATCTTTTAGATTCCATATCATATATTTTATTGCATGACATAGTCTCTATTAGGATATACATGGTATTTTTTTGATAAATTTATGATATACATGGTATTGCATCACTATCTTTAAAACTAACACTTCTTTCCCGGTTGCCCGGGCACGGGCTAGTCAATGCTTCCTCTAGGGAGACAAGAATGACCAGTCACCACTTTGCTGCCTTGACTACATTGCATAGAGGTATATGAGTGCACATTTAAACTTATACAGAACTCAAAAATAAGCAATAGAACAACTTCCAAAAAACATGAAAAAAGAAGAGAGACACAAACAACAAGCTTGTTGCTAACCAAACAAAAATAGTAAGATATGCAGGATGTATGAAGAATCAGCAGTCTTGATTAGGAATTCAGCATGTACATGAGAGGAAGAAAAAAATGCAATATGAACACTTTAGCTCAATAAGTGATAAACTGATAATAAATAATAAATGCTTACAAGCAACACCTCCACGGTCTATTAAATAAATACCAATGGCAAATACAGCTGTTGATGCAGTTAGCCAATACATGAGCTCCGGTGAACAGCAGAAGCCACTAAAGGGAATCCCACCAATCACCAAACTGGAAAGAATAAAATAAAGATTTCAATTGATGTTATCCAGTGCTGATGGCCGGTACTTGTAGAATGTGATTCTCATACTATAGTTGGATGGATACTATGCATTGCTGATGGTTCTCAATCCCCCTGGTATTTTATTGAAGATGCTAGATTGTTGGCTTCTAGAACTAACAGCTCACTCTTATGGATTCCAAAACCTGTCAATGCTATAACAAATAGACTTGCTAGGGAAGGGATTGGGAAGGGACAACTTGTTTCAGGGGCAGCTACTYCAGAATAGTTCCAGGTATTATATGTAACTAGCTTTTCTATGTCATATGTCAGTGTGGTGTACCATGTTCCCCTCTTTTATGGTTCTCAATGTGTCATCTAAACATATATAACTAAAAAAATAGTTTTTGGGGAAGAGAACCAATTAAAAAAGGCTGTTCATCATCAGTTTAGTGCCATATTGGATCAGCTACATGAATCCTGTTTTGCCATTTCATTCTGTTTAGTGCCATATCAATTGTTAACTTATAAACGCTTAAATCATTTCTTTTTCTTGCTACTTCAACCCATTTCCTTTTTGGTCTGCCACTCTGCCCCTAGTCCTTCTAGCCCCTTTAACTTGCAACAGGTTGCTTCTTCTTACAGGTAATGTAGATGGTCTTCTATCCATGTGACCAAACCATCTTAGTCTACTTTCTCTCATTTTATCACCTATTGTAGCTACTCCTAAATTCCTTCAAATAACTTTCATTTCTGACCCTATTCTTTCTAGTTTTTTCACTCATTCATCTCAGCATATGCATTTCTGCCACACATTTTTTAGACATGTTGCTCCTTAAATGCAACACTCATTTTTTTGTTACATGATTGTATAATATCAATAACTAAAAAGGATGATGACCAAAGAGGACCATTAACAATAACTATAATTCTTGACCACCTGCACTTTTCAAAGCACCTTTCATATGGTTGACTAAAAGTACATCTTCCACAAACCTCAAATAACATTGCCCTCTCTGAACAGAGGARCATATTACAAAATAGAAGTACTTTCCTTTCTTCATTGCAAATTTGAAAAAATTCTCCAACATGATTATATGATATTACTAATAAACCAACAGCAAGCAAAAGTCAGTGTGTTAATTCTGTAATAATACCATACCAACCACCCACCACCAAAGCCAAAGAACTAAAAGCATATCACATGGTAATTTGGATTGGGAAAAATAAATTGCACCACCATGAAGAGAGAAAAATGAAGCAAAGTGAAGGTTCAGGTAAATATTCAAGAAACTTACCAACTGCTCCAGCAATGAAATGTGACCAGTGACCCCCAAGGTTAGGATGCAATTCCTCAACCCACTTTTTGGTGGATTCAATGACACCAAAATATGTGGCTCCAGTTGCAAGGGATCCAGTTAACCCAGGACCTATTCCTCTATAAAAGCCTACAAAACATTTGATTCAGTTAACTGTATAAGTTAACAAATTAAAACTGCATTTTTACTGAAAAACAAATAAAATCCTTGTAGCTCATAATCCAGAGTACTAAATAGATAGTTGCTAACAGAATTTACATATAAAAGTGTTGTTCCCAGGCTCCCAGCTACCTGGGATCTTGGGATGGTGGGCTGGATAAGGATTTATTTTTCCTTTAACAAAGTGGCCACTCTCAGATTCAAACCCCCATTATTACACCTGCCAGCCCATGATTTTACCAGTACACCAAGCAATGTCCCCTATATGAAAGATATATGTTTTTTTGTAGGGGAAAAGCATATAAATTTTGGTGCATAACTGCATATGTTTTCTATTTAGAAAAAATATAGAAAATAAATGCACAAAACAAAAACACAATTCCCCTTCATATTTAGCAACATTGTAAATAGGGATGCAAACGGATCGGATCAGATTCGAATCAGGGTATATCTAAATCCGATCCGACACTGGTAAGGGGAGATCCGATCAGATCTCGTAAACATTGATTTGAATTCAAATCCAATGAGGCTGTCGGATCTTTGGATCTGATCCGATCTGATTTTTTAAAAATAAATAAATTATTAAAAGAAAAATTAAATATAAAAAATTAAATAAAGAAACACAAAAAATACAAGTATCTTTTCAACTATTTTGATCATATATATACATGCTTTTATAAAAAAAAATAATATAATAAATTTACAAAAAATGCAAATATAAATAATATATTTATAAGTAAATAAATAGCATATACATATATGTGTGTGTTATATATGTTTATATAAATAAATAAATAACATATATATCAGATCGGATCTTCTTAGATCGGATAGGGGTGATTCAAATCCGATCTGATTTATGATTGGATCCTATTATCCAATCCAATCTGAAGATCCGAACTGGGGAGATCCAAATTCGACAAAATAGGATTGGATCGGATCGGATCATGGTCCAATCCATTTGCACCCCTAATTGTAAAGTGGATATGATCAGTCAGTATAAAATCCATGTAAATGAAAAGTTACTGACTAAAAGTAAGAAAACATCATATCAATGGAAGCTTTTAGAAATTAAAGGGTATAGAATATGGATGTTGGTTTTGATATCTAAGGGGCATGTTCTTATCACCTTCAGACACTGAAAGATGTTGCTCGGGCATGAGATTTGAGAATTCCCCTTGTTATAATCGAAAATGAGGGCACTTATGTTATTTTACTGGCCAATGAAAACAATTTCAAGCTTTTGGGATAACATCAGGAGAATTTGATCAGACGACAAATTAGGGGGGGGCGGGACCTTTACCTCTTAATCCGTCAGCTACCCAGACTGTTCGGACCATCTGAAATATATTCTTCTGGCTCTGATAATGATAAAAATAAAGGTAAAAACACAATGAATTAATGAGAACGAGATCATTCCCAGACGATCAGAAAAGGCATTACCAAATGTCGCCAAATAGAAGATTGAGACCATTTGAATGTGTAGCTCAGATAACAAGATTTAAATGACAGAACAGAAACCATCTAGTCTATTGTAAGAAACTATCCTGAATTTTTCAATACAATATTGCAAGAAAACAAGTTAAACGATAGCATCAGAAACTCCATCCAAGTGTAAGTATACCTGGTATCCACTGATCATAGCTTGGCTTTGAATTCGTGTCTTTATCGTGTCCACTGGGTGCATCATACCTTCCCCAAAAGCCCCGGCAATGGCTCCCCACAAGAATTCCCTCCATACTGCATCACAATAAATGGCAATCAGAGGCTTCTACCGCTGATATAACTGATATGCGACGATCATTAACACAATTAGAAAGCTATAAATAACAAGATTTTCGGTCTTAACTACAAGTTCAAACTGAATTTCGGATGCTATACTGCATATAGCTTGGTTACCAAGAAATAGTACATATAGCTTCAAATATATTTTCCACTCGTAACATGCTATCAGAATCAAATAGGTTTCGTCTGAAAATTAGAAACCCCGAGTATGAAGAACCATTTCCCGTGGTTGAAGTTGGAAATGAAAATGACGAGTTCTCACCGAAGAACTGCTTAGGAGTTCCGTTGGTCGGTTGATATGTTGAAGCTTGTACTCCACCCGAACTTGAACTTGAGGCTGCCATTCCAACAACTTCTAAGTTTGATTCAGTGAAAACTACTCTTTCCTAGGGTTTTCACTTTTGAATTTCAGTAACTATATTCGGAGGGGACGGCTTTCTTTCTGTTTTCCTTCTTTATTGTGGCGAACTTCCTGTCCTCGCATATTGTGAGGACCGATGAAGGAGGGATTAGAGAGAGAAAGAGAGTGATGATCTTAGAAAGTTAAATGATCGTGCGGTCAAATTTATTAACACGTGGCTCGTGCTGTCATGACATGATGACAAGTAGAGGTGTAAATCGGGTCGGCCCAGGGGCCGTGCCAGGCCCGATACGATGGTCCGTGCCGTATTGGGCCAGGGGTTTGAGGTCCACGGGTCGGCACCCGTGCTGCCCGTGTGCTAGCATGGCCTGACCTATAGAGCCTATAGCGGGCTGTGCTTGGCCCGTCCAAAAACTAGTCGTTGCCTCCCCCCCCCCAATAGCTATTATATAACAACTAGTTTAGGGGTCTTATAACTTTACAATGACCAAAATACCTCTCCCAACAACTAAAAAACAATTAGTTTTTAGGGTATTTTGGGCAATTTAATTATTTTCAATTCCTATAAATAGCTCTATCCTCCACCATTATTCTCATCACACCAATTCAATAATCAACATTCAACAATTCTCTTATTAAGTTATTCTCTTCATCTCTTTAGTCTTCCTTCCCTCTCTCGGTCCCTCAATCTCCCGGTCTCTCTGTCTCTCAATCTCTCCAAGTCTCTCATACATTCTCTACAATCTAAGTGAACTCTGATAGTCTCATAGTCTGATTGGCTAATTGTTTGATTCTCCAAGTTAGCAATTTGGGAGGCTTAGAGCCTTGGACGTTGTTACGTTGAAAGGCTTTAACTGTTGAAATCAAGTTGGGATTTTGAATCGGCAATTCGGAGTTAGTCCAACTAAATTAATTTTATTTTTTTAAATTAAAAAAAATGGCCAGTTCTTCTCAAAACCCCAAGTTTAGTAGCCCGATTTGGAGAATATTAAAAATATATGATGTTGAGGGGAAGGAGAAAATAACAATTTGCCAAAAATGTAGAAAAGACTTTAGTTATTGTAGCAAGGGTGGTATTGGCCATTTGACTAGACATTTTCTCASACATGGGAAGGAATAAGAGATAATCCACAATTTCAATAAATTTTTGAAAATGATGGAAAATAAATTTTAAAAATATTGGGAGAAGTTAGAGAACATTTATCGCCACCAATCCTGCCATGGCATGTGATCCATGATCTACTAATCCCTCCAGTGTCTATAGGCTAYAGTTCCATCGAAGTCTTGTTTAGTTGTTTTAGTGCAGGACCTACAGGTATTACTGTACTAGAGTTGGCTAGATGCAGCTATGAATTATGATGCAGAATATACATTACAACTTTACAATTACAAGACAAAGGAGGGCATGATACTACTACATACACCAGATATTTCATTTCTCACCTGAAGTAGATGATGAAAGTGTGTGTGAATGCTTTCATCATAATGTATATGTAAACTTTGTTTAAATTGTAAATTTTAACAAATAACCCCACAATTTTTTATTTGTTTTCAAATTATTGTAAATTTTGTTTTTATTTTATTTAATTTATTTGCTATTAATGTAATTTTGTATTTTCAATTTGTAACTATATTGTATTTTTTATATTTTATTAATTTATTCCATTTTCATATTTCATTCATCTAAGTATGAAGTATGAAGTATGAAGTATCCAACCATTGTATATTTCATAATTTCAATATTTGTATACTTTGTAATTTATATCATTATTTATTCCAATTTAAATGAAATAAAATTCTTAAATTCCTATTTGAATTATTTTATACCTTTATTTATTTATTTTCTTGAGTAATCGTAAATTCGTTATTATTTATATCATGATATCCATTAAGTCTAGCTTGGTTCAGCACAGGCCCGTGGCACGACACAGGCTTGGGCCATGGACTGTGCCAAACCAACTCCCGAAATTTTCACCAAGGAGGATGACATGGCCCATAATGGTCCACGGGCCCGGCATGGCCTACTTTACACCTCTAATGACAAATTTTAGAAACCATGTTTAAGGAGTCGAGAGTCCATATTGCTCCTTCGAGAGTGATCCTCACATCTTCACAAATACAAAGAGGGATGTGGCTACGTTTGTTTTAAGTGTAAAATGTAAATCGACCTAAAATACTACTGTTGTTTTGCATTTGCCCGTGTTTGTTTTCAGCATAAATATGAACTGGTCTAAAATTTTGTTCTAGTCCAAATTTGTATTCATTTATTTTCAATGTAAGGGTTATATCAAAAACCAAAAATAACAACAATCCACTAAAATTTTAAACCCATCTATTGAGTTTTATATTAATGAATTTTCTACCGCAAACAATCGATTTTCTCCTCACAAAACGCGACACCAAACGCACAGCATGTTACTGTCTTGCATTGGGAGATGTCTCTGATGTACGGTTTCAAGGGATTTGTGAGATTGGTGTGAGGCGAGCGCTCTGTAATGAACAAATTTGAACTCGTTTAAGGGATTGATTTGGATATACCTTAATCCATTTTTTTTTCAATCAATCCAAATTTTATTAATTAGCGAAAAAACCCAAATTTCATTTGTTAATTTTCGGATCAATGTTATAGGATAGACCGGACGTTAAATCATTTTTGTCAATAAGGTATTGTTTGGTTGTCTAAATTTATTCTCACTGCTCTGTTTGGTTGTAGTGTAAATTTGAATCAGGTATAAATTTTGAAGAATTTTTAGATTTCTTGTTTGTACAGTTGAAAATAGTGATAGGGGGAGAATATTATGTATTGTATCATAAATGAGGGTTTTAGATAATAAAACAAAAATCAACTAAAATTTTGCGAGGTGAAGTAAAGTGGAAATTTCTCCAAAAAGTTATTTATTTWTTTTTTTTTGTGTGTGTACTCGGCTAGCTCCATTTTTGCATTTGTTCACGACTGATTTGCATCTTTACCTGATACAAAATCTGAACTTTTTTTTTTTTTTAATCTTACTTGCATCTATTGATAGTGCAAATTTTGCATCAAACTTTGCATCACCTTCTTCCTACTTTGATTCCCTTGTATAAATAGAGGTGCAAATACATCGGATTATGATCCAATCTGAATTCAAATCCAATCATATTTTCATTGGATTTGGATAACACCCCCACCCCCAATGGATCATTTTATCTTGCCTCATATTGTTATCCTAAATAAATAACCTTTCTCCGCTCACCACTATTGTTTATCAAAGTGGAGATTACATCATTTTGCTTTCTAAGATTGCATTTGGTAATAGTGCAAAATGGTGAACGGAAGTGAATGTATACGCTTATTTAGTTTTGCATGTATTTGGTGAGAATATGTTTTTATATAGAGATTTTGTTGAGATCAAAACTGAAGAAAAATTTGCTTTGAAAAAAAAAATAGATGCAAATTTCATACTCAATGTTGCATTTGTTTGCAATGCAAACACAAAATTGGTTCAAATATACAATCTAGTTCAGTTTTGTACATATACATTTGGTTGGGATTGATCGATGTTCATATCCTAAATGAGCAGAAAACTGTATTTTCTAACAAGTTTGCCTAAAAAAAGAGAGCAAATTTTACACAAAAAAAAAAAGAATACAAACTTTTGTACTCATCGCGTGCTACGGGGGTAAAGAAGCTATATCATTACATCATATTTTGCAACGGTGAAGGTCACCCGCTACCATGGACTGAACGTGAAAGTCATCTGCATTCGATATGAAGCATCGCCATCATGTTGACATATAAAGAGACTTCATCACTTTGTTGGACTTGGTCTCCATTACTGAATTTACTGTCTATACTTTTCTACAACAAAAATTTCAGTAGTTTGCTCTATTAACCCGTTTAGATCTGAGGCCCATTTGGTTTGTRGGAACAGGGGTCTAGAATCGGAATTGGACTGAATTATTCCAATTTTAACTGTTTGGTTGGATAGAAAAGGAATCTCATTCTCATTCTTGCTGGAATGGCATTCCTCCATTTGAGGGGATGGCCATTCCATGCATGCTCTTCCCTTGGGAATGAAATCCTATTCCTGTTGACTCCCATTTCTATTCTCATTTCTGTCTGAATCAAATACACTATGGGAATGGACTATTCTAATTTCGATTGCAAACCAAACAGACCCTGAATTTATATTTCTATTTTCTCCCTTCTCAACCCATTAGCACCGCAAGGTGGTGGGGAGTTTGAAGAATGGTGGTGATCATTTGAACCTTAGGATCATTTGAACCTTAGAGCAACACGGCTTCACTATCATGATCATCAAATAGGAGTACCGTCGATATGTTCTTGTTTTTTCAGGTGATCACTTGTCTTAATCTGCCTTGCCTTTTGGTTGAGTCATGGTTCTAAGTTTATAACTTTTATTTGGGAGATATCAAAAGCACAACCCAAATGATGGATGTTGTATCAAGATTTGTTGAAAAATGAAAACCTATTTCAGGATCTCACCTAACAGCTTAAGCTTTTGGGGGTGTTCTTTTTTTATATTTTGAGAGGGGGGGGGGGGAGTTGGTCAATGAGATTTTGATTCCCATTGACCAAGAAACCCATGTTCTTTTTTCATACTATGAAAAGTTTATTTTCCTGGTGATCACTTACTTAGGTAATCTTTCCTAATACTTGGATGGGACAGAAATGTCCCTTTTAATAATAATTTTTTATGGTTAAAATAACCACAGCTTTATTTACTTGGGAAATAAAAGAACATGGGTAAATGCACTTACTTAGGTAATCTTTCCTAATAAACACTTAACTGGATAAGTGCATTTACCTGGATAAATAACTTACCAAAAAGAGAATGAGGACTTTAGGTTGAATGGTTCTTTGAGATCATATCAGAGCCTATTTGACTAAGGCCCCAATTGGTTCATGGGAATGGGAGTCTAGAACTGGAATTGGAATGGACTATTCCGATTCGAATTGTTTGGTTGGGCGGAATCGGAATCCCATTTACATTCCTGCTATAATGGCCATTCCCTTCCCCTCCCTTGGGAATGAAATCCCATTCATGTTTAATCCAATTCTCATTCCCATTCATGTTTAATCCAATTCTCATTCCCATTCTTGTCTAAACCAAATAGACAATGGGAATAAACCATTCTGATTCCAATTCCAATAATAGGCTTTCCCGTGAGGGGGCAATTCTAGAGAATAAAAACATATTCAAGATGTCACCTAATAGCTTTAACTTTTATGTTGTACGATTCTTTGTGTAAAATTCAGTACAACCACCAATTCATTAGTTATCTGCTTGGTTCCTATAGAAATTAGCTTCATTGCTCACACTATTCACATAGTCCCTTACAACTTTGCACTGGGAAATCTCCCCATTTACAGAATTACGTAATCATTTTCCAAGTTTAGTATCTTCAGCTAATAAAGCCTACCGAGCGAGCGAGGAATTGACATGCATGCACTGGGAGCTCGCATGCTGGGATTCCATTCTTTGAATGCAGAAGCATCCAAAGGTTCCATTTCCCACATCTTCAGCATTCGGGCCTAAGGTTTTTAAAACTAAACTGAACAATGAACCGGTCAAGGGTTTGATTCCCGAGTCAAAATGGTCTAACCATTGGAATTGAATAGACAGACCATCCTGACAAAAAAATAAAAATAAAATAAAAATGGCGACTGCCCCAGGTCAACGGTTTGTTGACCAAATCAATATTTTTTAGCGAAATTACACTTCTAGGGTAAAACGAAACCAGTCACCTGACAAGTTTCCRATTATTCTGGTTTGACCGTCTGATCCTGTCCGGTCCGATTTTGAAAAGCATGTTCGGGCCGTACTCCTGTCACTAGCTCCATTCGATTGCAGCCTTATGTCCGATCCTGACAAGGCTTGGCCAGGGTTGGCGTTGAAGATGGTCGGGTTAGGGTTAGACACATTTGGCTTGGCCAGAGTTGACCTCAGGTCCTCAACCCGATCTTTTTTTTTTTTGGTGAACCCGATCCAACTCCACTGGAGTTGCAGTCTAAATTATTTTCTCATACCAAGGCCACAGGGTTCCCTGCGTTCGACAGAAGAGGGAGAGCGCGAGGTTCAGAAGTAGGAGAGCTGCGAAGTTCAGAAGGAAAAATATTGTGATCAACCATGGCGATGGCTACGCTAAGACGTGAGGGCAGAGGCTTCATCCCTCTGATCTCCCCTAATTCTATTAATGCTGCTCGATCTTCGATTCCTTCCGAGTAAGATGCCACTCACCTGATTTGATTCGGTTTCATTGACTGCGATTACGATTATGGCCTCTTCGATCTTTACATATCTACTAACTATTTTTATTTATAAGCTCATTGCAAATATATAGCTCTTTTGTCACTGACACCTTTAACTGTTATTATTGGGTGTCGTTAATCGTCATTGTCGTTGTTTACCCTCCTTCCCTCACCCTTCCTCCATCCCCCCCCCTCTCTCTCTCCATCAAGTCGTTTCTTCCTCTCTTTTGTTCAGGGTATTGATAGAAATGCGTTTAGACAGAAGTTAAATTAAATGAAAGAGAAAAGGTAAAATTATTTCATACCGATATTAATATAAGGAAAATTTGGCTTCACAAATTGAAGTTTGGAATGCATTGTTTCGGTGTAAGAGGGTTCCTAAAACGAATTTTTAATCCAATTTACCTTGGCAGCAACAGACATGTGCGGCATTGCTGTTACCTTTGAGTACTGTAGAGACGTTTTTTTCGATTTTTAGAAGGAATACTTGGAAAAAAGACTTACAATTCTCTTATTCATAACTACCATAATGTGGTCATGGTCGCCTATCTGATGGATTACGATTTACAAAACAAAAATCACATATCAATGCCATTAATCACATTATGACATCCAACATCTTCTGAAGTCCATCTAAGATTTCCAAGCTAATCCGTCAATGGGTGGGAATCAATTTCCCAAGGAATGGTGCTCAGAAGAACTCTGCAAATAATATTTCATTATGCATAGACAGGCAAGTAGTGTATTATGCAATAAAAACCTATATAACATGTTTGTATCGCTAACACTTATACGTCACAGCTGGAGTTTCTGATGAATTTATAACCACTTCATTGCATTAAGGCTTTGTTGGTATACAGCACGATAATTGTTTTCCTCTACATTTATTGACCGCAAATTCTTGAGTTTCCTTGTTTTCTGTTTTGGTTAACTAACTGAAAATTGGAATGTGTAGGGATTTGGTCCCCCAGGGTGCACGTTCTATTTCAACTCAAGTAGGTAGGAACCATTCTCCTGCTTGATTTTTCCTTGTGGGGTTGGACTGTTTTTTCCCCAGTAAGTATAATTTATTGATTGAATGAATCATTTTATGTCTTTATCCTAAAATGCAGTTAGAAATCGGATGAAGAGTGTGAAAAATATTCAGAAAATCACAAAGGCAATGAAAATGGTTGCAGCTTCCAAGCTACGAGCAATTCAAGTCAGAGCAGAAAATTCACGTGGCCTGTGGCAGCCATTTACTGCACTTCTTGGGGATACTCCTAGTATGTTTATTAGTTTTTTGATAAATAATTTAAAATTTCATTAAGAAGAAAACCGGAGATACTAGTATGTTTTATGGTCAAGTTCTTGGGGATACTCCTAGTTTATTAGTTACCTTTCACAATTTATGTTCTATGGTCAAGTTCACTTATCACTGCCGCTTCTTTATAAGATATAGTGTAGTTTTACATGTTAATGTTCTGTCTCCATACTTTTCATACTTGTTTTATCTATTTCATGTAATGACCTTTGGTCTCTAGTGGTTGAAGTTGCTCATATGCTTTGCCAACAGAGCCACATATTGTCTAGACCTTGCAAATGAACAAAGCTTCGTGAAAGATTAAGAAAAGGTGATCAAAATATTGATAAAAAAGATTATAGGATGTAGCTGGTGAGTGTGGCTGAAAAAAACAGGGCTTAATTATTTTTTTCCCCTTCCTTTCAAGAATTTTATGGTTGCTTTGCTCCTAGTTATTCTGTCAGGGATTCAGGGGGAATGTGGAAAGGGCTTTTTAGTGCTGAATATTCTTTATCATTTACAGAATTTGGACAATAACAATGTTTTAGAAACTGAACTGGAGACTAACCTGGTTTTCTTTCTAGGATGGGTCACCAGTTTGACTGTTGACATAATGATGAAATCCAAAGCCTTAAGATCAGAATATTAGGGCATAGAACATACATATTATACATGTAATGGTAATATGAGAGATAGAGAGAGGGGCAGTTGAAGAAGAAGATTCGTTGGTCATCAGATGGTTGCATGGTAGGCTCCTTCTCTCTCTCCCCCCCCCCCCCYCTTTAACCTTATTATCAAGGAAAAGGCCAAAGCTTTAACTCTCCATTAGGATCTAGAAGATTTTGAGACCTTGACGCTCTGGGCTGGTTTGTAAACAAGGGATTCAAAGACAATCTATGTCCTGGGCTGGTTTGTAATTAATGGGTTTTTTTTTTTTCTTTTGGGCTTCTTTTTCTGCCCACAACTTCTTGTTGTATATGCTTTTTTTAATCTAATCAATAAATAAATTCTGTTTTTGCTGATAAAGAAAAGATTTTGAGACCTTGAGATTGGACATGTCTTGTCACAGAAACAATTATTCCAATGTATGATTGTCCTGAAAATATAAAGTTTCACATAGATTTTCTAATATTATATAAGTAGTCCGTAATTTGGCTTTATTTACAAAAATCTTGTTCTTTTGTATCCTGAGATATGCTAATACTAACTAGTCTATGCTCTAGGAAGTGGCAGGATGACACTAGTATTGTTTGCTTAATTTATTTACTTTTTTTATCAATAATTAATTTATTTACTTTCTGTTTCTTCTCATTGACTGTGCCTTTTTCCCACTATCTTTTTGTTTAATTTTTTTTCATTTACCAACCCCCCCCTCCCAACCAAACAAGACAAAACAATTCTTGTTGTTTGCATATATTTTCTTTGCTGGATTTAGAGTTTAGAGCCATAATTGTTGCTTGTTTACCACTGGATCACTTTCACTTTCTTCATTCCATACTTTTTATAATATTGCTTAAACTGTGTTATATTTGATTCTTTGTAATGCTAGGTGTTGATGTTAAGAAGAATGTTATTGTTACTATTTCCTCTGACAAAGGTCTTTGTGGTGGAATCAACTCTACATCAGTCAAAATCAGCAAGGCTGTTCGCAAGTTGAATTCTGGTACCACATGGGAGCCGCTGTGCTATCAGTTTTTCTTTTTTGCTTGTTTCTTGTAATTCCAGCAAAAATAATGAAACCTTTACAAACTTTTACTTCTGGTCTACTGAAATCAGGTCCTGATAAGGAGACAAAATATGTTATTTTGGGTGAAAAGGCAAAGGCTCAACTTGTACGTGACTCAAAGAAAGATATCGAGATATCCATAACTGAGCTGCAGAAGAACCCATTGAACTACACACAGGTTAATTCTCTTCTCACGTGCCACTATTTTTTCATGTGAAGTATTATTTTATTTTATTTTGGATATGGCACAACTCAAGGAATTATAGATATGACACTAAACAGAATGGAATGGTGGTATAAATCAAGGAATTATAGATTGTAGTAAGAGCTTTGGTATTAGAACACACTTGCACACATGTGTGTATAGAAATTTATTTGGTGTAAATACATATATAAGTAGCTTATCTTGAGGGAGAAAGAAATCTATCTGGTGCATTTTATCTGTACTGTATTCCATAGGTAGCATTTTCAATAATGATTAAAAAGGTTATTAAAATAAAAAAGAGTACAGAACTTGTCAAGAAAATAAAAAATGAAAAGAGTAAGAGCAGGAGAAGAGTTTTTTTTGCCAAAATACGTATATGTTCAATCATATCAGCAGAACCCAATAAGAAGAGCAAATCACAAACTAAATAATCTTGTGTTCCTTTGGACCAATCCAAAAATGAAGAACAAATATTTATCCATGACACTTCTAAACTTGTCTTCAAAAGTTTTCTATTTCTCTCCCTCTAGATGCCCTAAAAAACTGCAAATGCAACCATACTCCATAATGACTTTGTCTTTTCTTTCCATCTGGAATTGATGGACAACAAGAAAAGGTGAGACTAAAGGAACAACCAAAAGTCTTCTGAAAAGCTGAAGAAGAAAGACCACAAGAAACCAGAGACCTTTCAGCTACAAAATGGATGATGCCATGATGGATCACAGCTACTCATGATGCACTGATTATGAAAGCCTCTTGATTTAAGGTGTTTAAAAAAAGTGTCAGGACACATTAACAACATCCAAGCAAAAGTTTCAACATTTGGTGGAAAAGGATTACCCCAGACCTTACAAGGATCCACCTGCACCACTTGGTTTCTGATTAGAATTTCACAAGAGGACTTGACAGTAAATCTGTTGTCTGACACCCTTTTCACCATCTATAATCAGTTTCTTCTGGATTAATCTTCACTTCAGTATTTTCTCAAAAAAAGAAAAAAACTTCACTTAAGTCACCTTGTCAAACGGGTTGAGGTATTCTTCAATTTCTCTTTCCAGTAGCAGTCTTCTAAAAACCAGAAGACAGACTACTTGAGATCCATTGAATTAGTGTTTTAGCTTACTCCATTGTGATTTTAGTTCCTCAATCTGGATTTATTTTATGATGTGGTTTGGGATCCGCCTGCACTATATGATTAAGACTTTGAGATGTTAATACATTACCCTTACAAGCAGAAGAGAAAAAATGACATGGAGATGTTTCCTTTCCCTTGAAGAATTTGAGGTTTTGGATAGGAAAAAAAACTTGTGAGTCGTCTGTTTCGTGTGCACTTGTTACAAGGCATTGTTGATACTTTTGAAGATTTCCCTTAAACACATTTTAGTTTTTGATTGCAAATATATGCTGGGGTATCGCCACTGGTTCTATTGCGGGATATTAGCTTCAGGTAGCCACATCCAATCCATTCACAGTGGAGGCCATCTATTTCATAAGCTGCTTACTTGCAAGCTTAAGCTTCAATTTATTCTTTGGAAATCCTGTCTCTTCAGATATTTGAGGCATTTCTTGGGTTATTCACAGCTGGTAAGACTTTGCTTTCTCTGGACAAGGGGGAGAGGCTGATTAACGCTTTTGCAATAGAGATGCTAACTCTCAGATTTTCTCTCCCTTGTGTTCAAGAGTGATCATGCAAGGTGTCATGCACTGTGTGATAGGTTGGCTTTGCAGGTTGAAAAAGATACTTCTGAGTCTTTCTCATTGCATTTTATATGCATAGGCTATAGTTTCCATTTTCTAGGTTGATCACCTTATTCCTCTGGAGATCAAGTTTAGAAATGGATTATCATCGATTTTGAGAAAGCATCTCTAGACACATCTCTCTCCTTCCCTCTCCCCTCTCTCTACACGTACACACAAACAATTCCCCTTCCTTTTCCTCCTTTGCCTCTATGCATGTGTGAATATCTGTGTGTATGCATGTATGTGTGAATAACAATGGGAACAAATATTATTTAATGAGCTTCTTTTAATTTAATAAAAATATTTTGTTATTGATAAAAAATGTATATTACCTATTGTCTCACACTCTCATGAATAATTCAAATTGTCATCCTTTACAGGTTTCAGTTCTTGCAGATGATATATTAAAGAATGTTGAGTATGATGTTTTAAGGATTGTCTTCAACAAATTCCATTCAGTTGTCTCTTTTGTTCCAACAGTGGCAACTGTACTATCTCCTGAGGTGAACTGATTTTTATAGTAATGTCCATGCTAATATTAGAAATATAATTGCAAATTCCATGATATTATTCAACAAATCTTTGAATTCAGGTTGTCGAGAGGGAGGCTGAAGCTGGAGGGAAACTTGGTGACCTTGACTCCTATGAAATAGAAGGTGGTGAGACAAAAGGCGAAATTCTTCAAAATCTTGCTGAATTCCAGTTTTCATGTGTAAGTCCTTGCCCTTTTAGAAAAATATTATGTATTTTTCTCTTTTTTTTTTATTCTCTGTGCTGGTGTGAATAATTGGCCATTACATGAACATTTTCTTTTGGTTTCCGGTATGAACTGTTTTATGTTTTGAACCATAGATGCTGTTAATAAATAATAACATCTCTCTTTTGTACAATTAGTGCTGCTGAAAATACATTAGGATGGAGCTCATTGCTAAAGAGTGAGATGCAGCATGTTTATGAAGCCTGTAGTGTAACAACCTTTTTCTTTTTTTGTTTTGTTTTTTTATCAGCCCTGTAGTGTAACAATCTTTTTAACCCTGGATATGATCTATTGCATGTATCGAACGATTACTGCTTGTAGAAATGTGTAATGTTGAGCAATTGGTTCTACTGCCAATGTTTTGAGGTGTGGTCCTATTTAAAACTTAAAAGCTAAAACAAGCTATCGGTCTGAGTCGCATCATATACTTATTTCTTAATATCACTTTTCATCTTATTCAAACTCTATCTGCTACATCATTGCATCATTTCTTGTATAGTTTTCTGAAGTCCACACTATGGCAGGTTTTGTTCAATGCGGTATTGGAGAATGCATGTAGTGAACAAGGAGCAAGGATGTCTGCTATGGATAGTTCAAGTAGAAATGCTGGTGAAATGCTTGATCGCCTTACACTTACTTATAACAGGTCTCTCTCTCTGTGTGTGTGTGTGTGTGTGTAAACATGCCGTCGTGTCATATCACCTAGTAGAGAAAAAGAGTTTGGATCTGCTAGTAACAAAGCTGTGCTAGGCACATCATAGTTTTGTGCCACCTGTCATCAGCACACCTAGCATTGTTTTGTTACTAGCAGATCCTGACTCGAAAAAGGATGACCAACATGAATTTGGGTATACTACAAAACAAAACTTCACAATTCTTAAATTCAGAGCATGCAAAAGTTTTTTCAGTACCATAGAGGCATAGATCATATCAAAGGCCACAACTTAGGGCTGCAAGTCAGGTTGCCCAATTTGAAGAATTTCAGTTACATTGGGCTTGGGTTAGGATGTTAAAAAATTTAACTAATTCAACCCAACCGGGCCCAAGACGCCCAAGTTGCATCCCTTATAGACTCAGTATTCCACATTCTGTCTTTCCTTCTTTGTGTATTATATGTGCACAGTGACTGATCATCTCCTCCTTTTTGTGGTATTGTCTAATAATAGGACACGCCAAGCATCCATTACTACAGAACTGATTGAGATTATATCTGGAGCTTCGGCACTGGAAGGCTAATTTTGCCCAAGTCAACTTGCCAATTGCAAGAATAAAGTTGTAGCCGGAGCTTATTCATGTTGCTCTTTTTTAACTTTCTGAAAGACAGTTTTTATGTTGAGATACTAGAATAATATTCCCAAGGTCAAATGTAATTTTTGGGAGTTTTATGATCATTTCTTTTTTGTTTTAAATTTCTTGTGGGATTCTTTGTCTATTTGTAACTTGTTTAGTGAACGGTTTGAGGATCCTAACATTTCGTGGCGCTTTGGTTCATTGGATAAATGGGTCTCTATGGATTGTTTTTGTGTTCAATAAAGAATTAGATCGTTCATAGGTTATTCCATGGTGCTTAGCAGATGCAATGCCTGTGGTAATAATAATATAGTATACTAAGAAGCTTCCTGTCTCAATTATTTTCTAATTGCAGTGATGGTGGGCTGGATTTACCATTTAGCAAGTGTTACCGATGGCCTGCAGCTGCACTACCACTGAGCTAGTATCAAAAAGGGTGCGATACACAATTTCAATCCAAGAATATTGCCTCTCTGAATTGGGCATTCTATACTTTGAACCATGCTGCTGAGACTGAGAAATGAAAACAAAATTTCGATTAATAGGTCTAGGCTGCAACCGACTGGTTTGGTTCTGGCTAGTGGGGATGGTCATGAACACAAACCAGGAGGAGTTGAATGAGATGGTGAAGTTGAAGGCCACCCAGATTCTTGGGTGAAAATCCTGGTGGTCTGTTTAGGGTAGAAATTTGGTTAGATTATGACATTAAGTTGTGCAGTTGTGCTACCAGTTCACGTCCAAGCCATCAAATACACAAGCAACCTGATTATCTACACTTTCTTCCATTCATGGAAGACGGAGTGAATGAGGAAGAAAGTGCCCGTGAAAATGAAACATGTTGTCCTGTCCTCTTTCCTCTTGCTCTACTAAGTAACTGCTATCAATCTCTCTAAATCAGTGTTATCAAACTCGTTATTTGACATTTTTACAATGTTAAATGATCAAGCTGGGTTGGTTAAAGTTAAACTCGTAAAACCGTGATTACTTAATGAAATTTTCGGTTTTAGCTTTTCAGGCCTAATCATTCACCATTTAATCAGGGTTTTGAAAGGGTCATGTTAGTTGATCTTGATCACGTGATGTAAGGTATTGAATATTGATAGATGTGAAATCTATCTTTTATAAAACGAGGAAAAGCTTTTCAGAAAAAAATATTGAAAATGTCAAACAACGCTAGAAGGAGGGCTTGAACCTCCGACCTTGTGGTTAACAGCCACACGCTCTAACCAACTGAGCTATTCCAGCTATTGTTGATAAGGTGCTATTCAATATTTTTATACAAAGAATCGACGTGCGTCCATCATAGATAAACAACGAAAGGGCATTGACTGCTGTCTGCTGGGGTCAAATATGCCATGATCTTACTACATAAATGCAGGATGCCATCCACCCATTTTACCAACTACACATTAAGCTACGACCATGAAGTTTTCATGATGAAGTGAAGGGGACCGTGCAGAGAAGCTGCCCCCAACCCGAGTGACTGAGTGAGTATTGTCTTCATCATTTATCCCACATGGAGTGACTATAAATGGTATTACCAAAGCATAACCTCACCTAATGGGGTTTCTTGTTTTCTGCTTTTCCCCTTTCTCTTCAATCCACAACCCTGAAAGGAAGCAAGTGCATCACAGCTCAAAACAAAAACGCGTTGTGGTTGGTAGTTGCTAAACCCTTGATAGGGTTTTGGAGATATCTGCCTGCTTGGTGTACAACTTCATGAGCAAGATGATGAGAGCTTTGAGTAATGTGGTATCTCCCCACACTCTCCCTTGGTTCAACATCCATGCCACTTCCCTCACTTTACCATGCCAAGTACTGTTCTAGCACATGCTGGATTTCATCCCACTGTCTTAATTCTCAAGGGACCACTGCCCAATAGTGAGCCCAGCTGCCTTAGAAGTATGACTGAAACAGACAGGGTCACACCCATTTGTATGGTCAAACTCATGAACACTAAGGCTCCATTTGGTTTACAAGAATAGGGGTCTGGAATGGATTATTCTGGTTCCAACTATTTGGTTGGGTGGAATCGGAACCGTATTCTCATTTTTGCTAGAATGGTATTCCCTCATTTGAGAGAATAACCGTTATCTGCCTTTCTCTTTGGAATGAAATCTCATTCCTGCTGATTCTAATTCCCATTCTCATATCAAACAAACTATTTGATCTGACCACTCCAATTCCGATTTTGACTGCAAACCAAACGAACCCTAATAAGGGCTGCATTTCTTTTATTGGCTCACAGATTTTGTTTCACCTTGCTGCCTCATTTGGGGTGCTACCATGAGAGGTAAATGTGATCATCGTCAGAAGATTCACTGTCAGCCTTCAGTTGTTTGCCCTAAAGAAAAAGAACATTTTTGAGGGCACATATGTTGTTGTTGGGATATACTGTAACTCACTGACTTATTGGGAGATCGGATCTTTCCATAATGGAACAAATGAGGGCAAATGGAAGTGGGCAACTATGAGCAAGTATTCCCTTTCCATCTAAATGCAATGGTTTTATTACATTCCCTTGGGATGATTGAACTTGAGACATTTGAGAAAGTTTTTGCCCTAGAAAATGTGAGGCACCACTCCATATGGGTTCCACATATCCTATCCCAATTTAATGTAAAAAGGGCCATTACCCAGTGTTGGTCCCAGCAATCTGGGTCTTGGGAGGGGTGGACTGGATATGAACATGACGTTTGGCATTTTTTTTTTGGTATAAAGTGGCTGAAAAATGTAAAAGTGAGGTTTGGTTGGGTTGAGAGTCAAGTTGACTAAACCTGCTCTAGATTCCTAGAACCTAACCAACTTTGCTGTTGGGTTTGGTTTTTGTTGAACCACCACCCATAACTTAAACCTAAACTGGATCCATGAGCATCACTATTTGCATATACAGTCTGAATATGTAAGTGGTTTAGGTTGTTTTTGGAGCAGCTCATCTCTATGGAGAGAGAAGTTTTGTGTCTCATGGATAAAGGTAGATGGGATGGATAAATCTGTTCTTTAGGTTTAGTTTGGAAAGAGTACAAATATAAATATATAGAATGCAAAATCTTGTATTTTGTATTATTTTGAATGTATTTATACTATACATTTTTGTATTTGTACTTCTTTCAAATAGAGCCTTAAGAAGATAGGAGGATGCTTTCGTCATTTTAAAATGTTGAAAGTATAATGCGTTTGGAGCATTGTTGTCAGGCTTGGGTCAGATCAGACGGTTGAACAGTTGACTTGCTGATCCAGTCAACTTTCCAAGTCTCGGTTATTTAAGAAATTAGATTTTCTACCCAACATCATGTACATTTTTCATGAACAATAACATGTAAATATAGAAAATGTTCTCAATGTACAATTGTAGAAAGGCATGGGTAGGAGATCCAAACTCGTCATTTAATAGCTCTCATGYGTTAAATATAAATAATTTCATTCTGATTCTCCTGCTCACAAAATTTTCCCACGTCTTTAACATGGCTTATATCCCCGCTCTGGTTTGAATTGGGATCTTTCTTCTGCCAATAAAACACATTCCAACCCTCTACCAATTTGATCTAATACYGCACATCCCACCATAAAAGTAGAGCCTGCCATATATAAAATGTGCAGTGTGAGACAATGTTGGTAGAGAGTTGGAATGTATTTTGTTGGTAGGTGATCGGATTCCTCTAGTTTCACTCCCTTGATCCCTTATGATCCACAAACAGGTGAACCAATGAAATAAATTCCAAATATCACCATGAAACACTTTTTGTTTTTTTTT